CTGGGGTTCCAATGACTAGCGCTGCCATATGACCCCACACATAATGATCAATTCAACGGTTCGAAGAATCTTGAACTAAGAACTGCCAAAGCGATCAGCCGATAATGCGCTGAACGTCCGTTTTGATGTTCTGATGGCGAGAGAAACATCAGCTCCTGTAGATCATGCCGTACGAAATGTTCATACATTTTCCTGTTATTGTCTAGGAGAAAATGTGGTCCTATTAAATAACTGCCAATGAGTCCCATCAACACTTTAACAGAAAACTTCCGTTGGAAACTAGTTTTCCTTGTTAAACGAGGGTTTCTTTCGGCCCCAATGATAGAGGTTATGAACATTTGTTATGCTATATGGATGACTCCAGCAAATTAACGAGAATAAAAACTGCAGGCATTTCATAGTGTGGTCAATACTATTCCTTTGGAATAACAAATCCATATCAAGCACTTTTAGTTTCATTTGTATCCAGTTAGATAGCAATAGTGCCTTAAGGAAGTTTCAACAAAGTTTTGAAGAATGTGGCTAAGAGATTTTTTCAAAAATAACCGCTAGAATGTGGTTAAAATTCACAATCCACAAACAAAAATACGACTAGGTATCTACAATTTTTTCGTGATCCAAATTATTTCTGTGATTTTGTGATTTCAAACATAAGACCATAGTGTTGATCATGTATTCTAGTTGAAAGTTTGAGAAAATGTAGAGCTGATTTTCAGGAAAATAACTTTCAAACCCTTGAAGTCTTCCTTTTGGAGAAAAACATAAAAAATTAAATATCTCAAAAACTATTAAGTTTTGCATAATGCAAATAAGGGTTTAATTTACTCCCTAACACCTTCACATCTCCGAAGGAATGTATCGAATTACCAGTAACCCTGTATATAAATCGAGTTCTGTTGCCTTTGGGAAATCCAACTCAAAACATTATCACAAAAAAATACTTGTTCTACGGACTCGTATCTTTTTTTTTCGGATGCAATTTTGCCGTTTAATTTTCAGGCAACAAAATTTTCATCAAGAAGTGCACTTCGACAAATGAAAGGTCCCGTGTGTACACGTGGAGCCAAGTATTCATATATTATTGTCAAAAATTGCTTCCTCAGGAAAATAGCACCCTGGAGACAGTTTTTCTTTATATTTCAAGAACCGTTCATTAAAGAATCATGTAACTTAATTTATTGATGAACTTTCAATGCTGGATCAACATTTGAACGTAGCTCCCAGTAGTACCTAGTTCAAATCAATAGGTTGGGTAGTTTCCAAGTAAATAGGGATTTTCTACTTTGATGCATTGGCACCCTGAGGACGGGTTTTCCTCAATATTTCTGAATCCGCTCACACATACTGGGCTTCAATTTTTCGAATTTGGAATGGTTCCCAAGATGTCTCACCTTTGATGATTTGTCTCCACATCAGATGACAATTTGTCTAAAATACATTTACATAATTTCATTTCCCACATGAAGGTCAAAAAGCTGATGGACGATCTCTAAACACATATTATTTCACCAATCTCTGGAACGTAATTAGTTGATAGGTATTCGAAGGAATAGTAGCATTTCGCTTAATGGATATATCTCAAAATAATCATTCAAAAAGGAAACAACATCATATCAGTTATTATTATCAGTAGGTAGTTCTCCAGGTGATAGAGATATAGTAGAGGATCCCAAGTGAGGTCGACCTTCACTCATCTGCTCACCGAACAAAAAATTATATTTTATCAAATCAAAATATGTTTCTGAATATGTACCGCTTGGAGCGCACGAAAAGAAATCCCTATAATTACGTATTCGTTGGGTGATGATCCTGAAATTTTCTGAAGCCAGAGATGAACCAAGAATGAATTCTATGATAAGTGTGGTCATCTTCAGTGATATACACTGCACTGCAAAATGATATTAGGAGGCGAAATAGGTTGAAAATCGCTTCGAAATGAAGATTCTCAATCCACTAACTATCATATCCTGCCTGAAAAATATTTCAGTTCTAACATTTTCATTTTTGTCTCCGTATCTTACGTATAATTATCGAGTTAGGATTGTTACATTCCCATTTGCGAGAAATATTCTGAAGATACAGTCAATAACCAATTCAATCCACCAACAGTGATATACACTGCTCGCTAGCAGTCATGGAACCACTCACATGTCCGGAAAATCATATAAGCTGACAATGTAGGTTGGAAATCATAGCGGATTCGAGAACAGGAAACAGAACGTCTAATTCACTAATTACCTACTCATATTCCTTCTGACATATTTTCAGTTATTCTGAAATTATAGATTCTGTCTCACTTTTGATGAAAGCGCCCCGGTATCTTACGTTAATTATTGATGTAGGAGTATGACATTTTCAGGAGCAAGAAAGACACCAATGACCAAGTAGTATCAATGATACACTGCTCGCCAGCAGCTACATAACTACTGACATTCCAGGAGGAAAAATTCATTAAATCGGAAAAGTCACTCAACAGTTGTTCTGAAATTGATAATCGTGAAGTCAGCTCCCATCAGGGATAATGAAATAACAATCAGAGCTATAGTAAAATCGAATAGATTATCAGGAGTGATCCAATGTATCACAAATCATGACGGGTGACATTGAAATGAATTAGGAATGAATGACTTCGTTATCATTACCGATCATAAAGCGTCAAAATATGAGAAGTTAGTGAATTGGACTTCCTGTTTCCGTATCCGAAGTGATTTTTAACCTATTTTGTCTTGATATTATTTTCCGGACATGTGTGTATAGTTCCACGGCTGTTGGCGAGCAGTGAGAGTCAATGAATAAGATGACCTCACTTGGTCATAGAGTATATTTTTGGTATATTTTTTGCTCCAGCTTATTTCAGAATCCTTACCCAACGATTACGTAAGATACGAGGGTGTTTCCATGAAAAGTGAGACACAAATGCATTATTCAGAACTGAAAATTTTTCAGGAAAAATATGAATAATTATCGAATTGGGCGTCCTGATTCCTAATACGAAGTGATTATCAACCTATTTTGACTCCTAATATCATTTTCCAGAAATTGGGGTGGTTCCATTGCTGTTGGCTAGCAGTGCATATCACTGAAGATGACCCACTTGGTTATAGAGTGCATTTCTGGTATATCTCTGGCTTCAGCCAATTTCAGGATCCTTACCCAACGATTGCAACTGTGAATTAGGATGCATTAGAAAAAAATTTCTTGTGTTTAATCAACAGTTGCAACTGTATATTAGAACGAGCGAACTTTTTTTTACACATCTCCTAATTCACAGTTGCAAATGTGAATTAGAGTTTCACAGTCTCAGCGCATCTCGTGCTGTCGAAGAATGGAAGCTCCCTATGTCTGGTAGTCTGGTGATAAATTGTGAGAACTGACACTATGAGACAGTTGAAACTGTAAATTAGGAGATGTGTGAAAAAAAGTTCCCTTTCTCTAATTTACAGTTGTAACTGAAAATTAGGCAGAAGAAACTATTTTTTTTTTAATATCTTGTGGTGACTTATTGTGATTAGTTTTGATCAAATATCATTTGGAAATTGTTTCTTGAAGTCAGCGTATCGAGAATCTAGACGTCAAGTATAGTGAGGTACAGTTCAACAAAGAGTTTATAGACTTGTAAGTTATTACTCCTCGATCGAGTTATAAGATCAGAATTAGCATCCTGACTCCTAAACCACCCTGCATTTGTTTCAATTGAATGTCAGACAATAATGAATCAAAGGTTGAGATAGAAACATGTGAGCAGCTTCAACTACTAATGAATAGTTTCGACACTAAAAATCTTCAAGTTGAATAATCTCGATCTTGAATACTCTATAACTATGTAATTATTCCCGTAGACCCCAAGTGTGATACATTGATGAAATCAGCTATTCAGAAAGATTCTGAAATTGCATTAATATACAGGGTGATCCATTAAAAAACACTGCTGACTACGTCATATTTACAACAATATGATATAGCTATCAAAAATCAACATAAGCCACTGTGTGGGTAGACCAGAAGAATCATAAAAAAGTGTCGATATGAAAATGATGTAAATCATTTCCGATTTAGTCAAAAATAAGGTGTTACCACACATAATGATATGACCAACCCAAATTCATTGCAGGTTTTTTTCAAGAAAGTCATATTTTCATAACACGAGGAGTGATAACTCACAAACTCTATAAATTCTTACCTAAAGTCTTAATATTTTCGGTACGCTTACTTCAAGAAGGAATTATCAAATCATTTTCATCAAAATTAATCACAAAATCACTTGATTTGCAAAAACGAACAGTTCTCCGCCATTTTCAATAGTCCCACAAAACACGTGTTTACAAACGGACTGTAGTCCGAAGCTTGAGAATTATATCAGTTTTATGTGTACTATTCAGACTACTTCTAGATCTCTACTTGTGTGAACGAACAGTTCCAGAATCATACCAGAATTTCTCAAAATATTCGATGTTTACCCTCAAGTGCATACGTGGTATTTTCAAACTAAAGCTACTATGCAACTACACTATAAATTACACTTTTATGAGTTATTACCACAGATATGTATATCAGTATATTGAAGTCAAAAACCGGTGCCAAACTCATATTGATCATTCCAGAACACGTGATTTTGACATGGTTTCTTGAGGGGCACACCAACTATCTGTTAGGTTACCTTTCATGAGCATTGCCCAGGCCGTCCCTCTGCCACATCCACAATATAATAACAGTTTCACCAAGCAAAATTATGAAATTCTTTCTAGTTCCAACTCGGATTTCAAGGAAAACGATCTCACCAATTCTGGTTTTCTATGACAGATCATGACAAAATACAATGTTTGCCCCTCAGCAACCTGTCAAATGACGTAATTCTGGAATGATTAATAGGAAAGCTGTCAGTAGAAGAAAATTCGTGGGTCTTGTGTACCCACCATGTGCACTCGAGGGTTAACGAGAGATGAAACATTCAAAAATATTTTGATACTGAGATACTGATCCGAACATTTTTCTGCATGTAGCTATGGTCGTCTACCTCTGCCCTGCCGACAGAAAATACACATGTTCCTGGGAAGGCCAAGCTGAAGACATCCTCCATCACTTTGAGCTAGAACACGATGATCTCCTACATTTCAGTGACACCTTCACCATACTCCCCAGCGTACCCTCAGAAAACAGACTACTCCTCATAGACGAAGAAATATATCTGGCACAAGTAAAGTGCCAGCAAAAAAGCCTGGACATTCGTCTGAGATATCTAGGACCCACTCGCCTAGCTAAAAAGATATCTTACAACTTACTTCTGCGAGTTGATAATGAATTGGTTCCAGTTGGTGCTATAAGTGTGCAGGACGGTAGCTACATAGTGAATTTGGACAAGATTCAAGAGGCTTGCATCAGATGTACTCTGAACGTGACAAGGGCTCAGACTACTTCGGAAGATGAAGCTGACTCAATTTGCATAAAAATGAGCTTGGAAGAAACAGCGAGTGAAGCTGATAAACCTGAGGTCGAGTTAAGACAGAAGCCTTCTGAGATTTCACTATCGCGATCCAGAACAATAAACTGGTTGGATACGAAGAGAAAACTAGTAAGTAGGTGCAAGAGCACTTTGAGCTTGGGCGCCATAAGTGAAACTGTGCAGAACTGTTCAAACTGCGGCATCCATCTTGTTCCTCCGATTTACTTTTGCCCCTGTGGGCAGAGCTTCTGCGACCGTTGTCGAACAAGCACTTGTCAAAGCTGCAGAAGCAGAGTTACCGAAGACAGAAACTACGGACTGGAGACGAAGCTGAGCAGGTCGCCGCTATCGCCTTGCAAGTATCAGAAGTTCGGATGTCCATTGAAGCTTTTCACTAGTGATTTGCGTGACCATGAAACGCACTGTGTTTTCTGCGAATACAAATGTCCTATAGGAGAGTGTAGCTTCGAGGGACAGTTCAGGAATATGGTGAAGCATTTGAAGGTGATACACGGCAGCACGAAGCTACTAGAATGTTTTTTCGTGTCCTTCCAAACCCACCCTGAAGCTTTCCTGGCCATAGAGGAAAAAGGGATATTCTATTGCCGTATGGTGTTCCGGAATGCAACTTTTTTGTTCGAGGCTATATTCTGTGGACCCCCAGAGAGAAAATTTTTCTGTGAGCTGCGATTTAAGGAGGGAAAGATGAAGCAACCGATGATGTTACACAGGACGGAAAATGTATACAGGGTGGAGATTTCTCAGATGGAATTGAAGAAAATGAAGCTGAAAGCTAAACATGCTCTACTGACGATAACTGCTTGATACCTTGGTAGTCGTCAAGGTGAATTGATAAATATGTGACAAAATATATTGAATTCGGGGCGAAACATCGATGATATTTCGATTACGTATCCATGTTATCGTTTGAAATTCACCAGCAACTTACCTCTACGGACAATCTATAAGATGGCTTCCTATGGAAAAATAATTTCAGAGAAAGACTTGGGATATTCATGTCCTTCATAAATGTCATAATTGTGACTTCCTGGATCGTATTTTTCGAAAACTCTTTCAGAATCAGAGAGATCAGGAAAAACACTACAAGTGTATCTTTATTCTTATACTGTACGGCACACTTCGACCCAATATCGAACAAAATGCCGTTGAACGTTTCCATGATTTCGCACGGGCATATTGTAGCCACATATCGTTCATGAAATTCATCCAAAGCCATTTCTTACATATTGGTGTATCATTGGAGTTAGAAAGAAAACTTTCAAATATGAACATAAATGATTCACAACTGAAATCTGCTTCTGCATAGTGAAATATGGAAAAATTATACTCAATATGAAGAATTATGGCTCAGGTAGAATAGTTTTATCCGATTCAGATATACGTGCCAACTCATACTACATAGAAGTACTTTCAAAGAACTATTGGATATGATCTCATTGCATGTGAACTCTATCAATCAGTGAATTAAATTGTGAGTTTGGTGTTTTCACGATTCAGAAAGCACTAAAAAATAAGGTTGTGATGGATGTGATTAAATGGATTGGAAGAAGTATTTCCTATCAACAGTAAATGGGGCACCACCACATTACTCAATACAAGTGAGAGAATACCTAGAGCGCCAAATTCTCTAATCGCTGGATAGGTCGTGGCGGCCCTCATTCTTGGCCTCCTAGGTCCCTTTATCTCTCAGTTTCAGACTATCAACTTTAGAAAATATAGAACGATCGGTATATCATAGTGAAGTCAACACCAGAGAGGAACTGAGGGAGAGGATAGTTACAGATTCAGATATGATCAGAAATAATAGGCAAATCATTCAAAAAACGAGAGATCTCTCGAAGAGATGCAGAAAACGTGAAGAAGTTGAAGGACAGTTTGGGAATCTTCGTTGGAAAATATCAAGATGAAGACAAATCCTTTCCAGAAATTTTTTATTGTTTTCATATTGTTTCCAAAAATTAAGTCTGGTCCTGAACTTGTTTATTGAAAAAAACATATTCTCAACTTTGCTGTTATATCAATATGCAAAAAAAAATATTGCAATACTTTGAGTCGAATGTAGAGAGTAATGTGCCCGGGCAAAATCGAAGAAACATATATCAGTATTTTGTTTGATTTTTCTTCACCAAATCGATCGACGTGTGCCGTACGAATTGAAGAGCTGCAACTTGTTGTGTTTTTCCTGATCTTCTTGATTCTCATGAGAGTTTTCGAAAAATACGATCCAGTAAGTCAAAATTGTAACATTCATGAAGAAAATGAATTTCCCAAGTCAAGCTCTGGATTATTTTTTCATAGTATGTCATCTTATGAAGTGTCCGTAGAGGTAAGTTGCTGGAGAATTTCAGGCGATAACATCTTCGAGTTCCTGAAATATCGTTCATGAGAGTTTCGCCCTGAATTCAAATAATGCCCTGTATTTTTGTCACGAATAGACTTGGTATGTTTTTTCACATATATATCAACTCACCTTGACTTCCTTCATCCGCCATTAGGCTATAGCTGGTTAGTCATGACTTACCCTGTAGATTGATCGAAGAATCTACATCTGTCAGTGTTTTTTCATTTCCGGATTGATATAGTAATATATATCACTAGGGAAATCAATCAGCTGTCAGTAAATAAACTTCCAAATTTCCAAGCTTCCAAAGTTTCAGGTGCTGGTACTTATTTTTTCACAAGATAAAACTGCGTTGATCTCTATTTTGCTTTTTTTATCTAATTCAATATTCATACGACAGGGTGTTTCGTAATAGAGAGTCTCAGGAAAATGAAGAAAATTTCATGAAAAAAAGTCGTAGAAGTCGTCGTTTGCGAAATACAGGGTGTTAAAGTTGGAAATACGGTATAATTTTCATTGAAGTTCCATATAACCGCTAAACAAAAAATCCTGATATTCTAGTGCATAACTCAGTACCTGGGAGTAATTGGATGGGTAGCAATATTTAGTCAATATGATTCCCAGTGGCACCGCTAAGGGGTATTGATGTATGATTTTTCAAAAAATATATGGGTGGCGATGAAACTTTTCGAAATTTAATTCGAAAATATGAAAGAGGATGAAGTTTGGTAAAGAAAAAACACCAGAAACAACCTGTATATTTTTTCAAAAGGTCATAAATTGAAATGCATTTGACTTTGAAGCTCAATATATTTCGAAATATAAGAAATATTCTCCAGGGTAACTGATTAAATAACTATCTATATACATAAATATAAATAAAAATTTTGGTTCATTTACAGGGGTAGCTATAAGTTCTACTTAGTCAGCAATCTTTATTTTATAATACTTGCATAATCTTGAAAATAATTCGTTATGCCTCGAATTTAACGAAATATCTCAATTAAATTAGTAAACTGGCAGTAACGCTCCCAAAATAGAACACATTATTTGTTTAAATCATCGTGGCAGTGACTTCCTAGAAATCTGGCAATGTTCAAATATCACATCAGACAAAATTTCAATTATCAAAAACATTCGGAATATCTTCCAAAAAGGAATACCCACCTCACCACTGCAAGTAATCAGAAATAAAAAAGAAAAAGTTTTAAGATAGGTACTAATACAAATCAAAAATTCTTGAGAATTTTTCAAGGGTTGCTTTAGTGAAAATCATGTGAATTGAATTTTTTGATTTATAGCAAACTCCAATCTTCATATTTCCAGATCGTAAGAATCCTTACTTTCCTTCGAATAAGGAACTAGAATGGAATGTTCTGATAACTAATGCAAGAAAACTCACGAAAATATTTCGAGTGGTTATCATCTGGAAAATTTCGAGAAATTCTCAGTCAACAACAGAAATGAAAATTTGGTTATCAATTTGAAAGGACAATATGTTGCCTTTCTCATAGGTTTGATTGATTTCAGTAGACGTTTTTCATCAGTGCTCTTCATGACATTTTTATTTTGAAATCATCAATTTCATATTGGTCTCGACACCATGAAGTTGTACACACTTGTCGAAATTATGACAAAATATATATATTTTATTTTGATCATTCCATATATGTAGTAATAGTATTTGATAGAGTCATTCATTATTCAAAATCACGAATATTTCTTCTTCAGAAATTAAAATGAACATCTCTCGAAACCGCTAGCTGTCGATGACGTAACATACCTATAAGCACTATCGGTGCTTTATTGCTCATCAACTAATGGAAATATTTTCCCATTCTACCTATAATCGAGAATTCACCTCCACGGCAGTAGGAGTATCCACAAATTACACATTAGTCGTATCGTATTCAATTGCAATGGATTCATCGCGGTATATGACGTCACGCGTTGTTCTACGTTTTTCATGTATGAAATATCGTGAATTCCAATTATTATTCAAAAAAATGTCAGAGCTCTAAGGAAAGAACGAATTGCGGCAGTGAACTGGTTATCATTCATCAGGATTATCACCAATTTCGAAATGATGAAATAAAATTCTTCACTGAACATGACGAACAGTAAATAGCATTTATCTCCCAGTGAAACCGACTCTGGATATCTTGCATCCCACATACCTTATTCTGACCTGAGAGTTTGTTACTGATTCTTTAGTTATTATGTTGAATTCCTGATTTAACGACAGTCCTCCTACTATGTAGCTATTCATTTGCTCAAAGATCATTCACACTTTGAATAGACAACGCATGTGTTCAAATTGGCAACGCTCCGATGGGACGTAACAGATCGGCGGCAAATCGGCTTGGCTCATTCATCGTACAAATATTGATATCAGAGTTGGTGAAATACACGACGTTATGATGAATAAATGCGCACAGCGAATTACCCACCACTCAGTTACGTCCCAACTGAGCGTTGCCCATTCTTACGTCATTTACGGTGTCTATCTAGAGTGTGTATGATCCTTGATTTGCCCGAACAAGGATACGATGGAAGCTGAGGAAATTCAAATCCTGCAAGGATTCCACAAGGTTCTCACATGATACTGAACATCCGACAAACACTTCCCGAAAAAACTCGTATGTTCTAGAACCCAGCCTCATTCCTTCTTCTCCCGTGCGTCCTCGGACACCACGATGCGAATTCTCAGCAACAGCGGCTTTTCGTAAGGATCGTGTTCGCTGATCGTGTTTATTGGTCGACCTTGAACCACCAAATCGAAGGTTTCTGCGTGTTTCAGTCGCCTCTTGAAGTGCAAAGCCCACACGCCATTTTTCTTAATGAGCTCGAGTTTGTTCTTATCATTGCCTTGTGCTATCTCGTACGTCATCTCGGTCTGGAATGAAAGAGAAGAATCAGAGAGATATCAACATCATGTTGAGATTTCACACCGCCACCTAGGAAAGAGGTTCAGAGTGAGCCAGGTTCGATAGTATTCGAAGGTCTCTCTATCAGTGACAAGATTTCTGCTGATGCTATGTACCTACTAGATTCCTTATGAAAAAAAATAATAAAAATGCAACCCAGCAAACACGAAATAGCTGGCGATTCTATGACCCACTGACAAGGTTCACTGGCCGACCTTGTACCACCAGATCGAAGATTTCTACGTGTTTCAGTCTCCTCTTGTAGTGCAAAGCCAACATGCCATTCTTCAAAGTTTGTTCTTCTCGTTGCCTTGCACTTTTCCGTACGTCATCTTGATCAAGAATAGAAATGATAAATATGGAAATTTTGTTGGAATTTCACCGATGCTGCCTAGGAAAGAGTTTCCTCAATCAGCCAACGTACATCTTTCAGAAGTATTCAATCGATTTGAAATTTCACAAGTGAATGACATCTTGGTGATGATTCGTTATGACATCATCATTGGATGAAAAAAACAATATGGCAGACGGTTTTTGTAATTATAGTCCGTTTTGAATCAAAATTGGTATCTAGAGGTTTTCGGGGTCCAAAAACGTGAAGAGATGACTTCAGTTTTTGCCCTATTTTCTTTTCAAATAATACCTTATTATTTCATTGTACATGTCTGTACGTTGAATTGACGTACTCGGATGTACGTCTTTCATACGTCCTGAGAGGAATGACGTGAATCAGACATAAAATCACGTTCATTTTTGTACGTCCTAAAGGCAAACACGAATCTACGTTTCAAAGACGTATTTTGAACGTCCTTGGATGAAAAGACGAGAGTCGGACGTGAAATGTACGTTTTTGAGACGTCTGGTGCTGATTGGTCAGGTCTGGAATGGAAAATAGGTCAAGCCGTGAACACAAAACCAGAGAAATATCAAAATTGTGTTGAAATATCACCACAACCACCTAGGAAAGAGGTTTAGGGTTAGTCAAGATCACATTATTCGGAGGTTTCGATATCAGTAACAAGATTGCTACCGGTGTTCTGAACCAACAAGATTTCCTATATGAAAAAATTAAGAAGCATCCCAGCAAACACGAGATAACTAGTGATCTAATGGCCCACTGACAAAGTTCACCCGCCGACCTTGAACCACCAGATCGAAAATTGATTGATTGATTGATTGATTGATTGAGTGAACAGACCTAAACCAGAGGTATATCGAAATTGTGTCAGGATCTACAATATGTTTTCACCACTCTCACTTGCAGTGAGTTCAGAAGTGAGCCAAGTTCAATAATATTTGGAGTTCCAGATGTATCAATGACAAAAACTGGTGCTGTTGGTGTTCTGTACTTGACTCATCTAAGAGAAAGGCACAATCTGTGATTGACTCAACTTTTCGATGGTGAAGCTACAATAAGAGATTTCCAGATTTTTGAATTGATTCTCTTCTAATTGGTCCGAATTGATAGTTGCAATATCTTGAACCCTTTGAAAATGTTGACTCATCACGTTACGTAAGGTAGCAAGGTACTCACGAAATGACGTCTGAGATTTAACGACTCCAAAATGAAACAGCCACAAGACGTCACACTCAAACTCCCAAATGACGTATACTAGACTAGCCTATATAAAATATGAGACAAAAATAAATCAGGAACACAATACATCGCAGATCTCTGATGAGAATCATTGATAATTGTGCATCGTGGTAACGTGGTTCATGGATATAAGATCATTGAGTATTGACGAATGGAGATTCCCGTTGGAAAAAAATTATACAGGAAAACTCAAATCACGTAGAATAGACGGAGAAGAGTTATGAACATACTACTTTGTAGAAACATCATCAAGGCCTCTTTATTTCATGAAATCATCTTGACGGTAATTTTACTACCTGATTATAGGAATAGGTACTGTGAAATTGAAATTAAAATAATACCTTTACTGCAGGTTGCAGTTTCACTATCCTCATTCTGTGTTTAGTTTGAGACAAACTCAGATTCAGCTCGATTCGGTCATCATCATGTTCGTTACTTCTTATTCTCCTATGGTGGAGTAATACTTCCATGGTTTTATTTTGTAAAGATCTGCGCATCCTCATATGCCTGATGGCTCGTCTATGTCTTCCATTTATCTGAAAACAAAACACATAATATGAAAAACACCTATGAAAATAAGCAACACTTTATTCAATGAGGCTCTACTTGATTGGAGTCCATCGACAAGCAGTCAGTCCATTCGAAATATTCTTGATAGAGATCATTTTCCCAGAAAACCCTGGGACTTTTCTTATCGTGGACTCATGAATCTAGGATCATTCCTCTGAACAGGGTGACAACCACTTTCAGAATCTCTTGAGAGGTATCTCGGTATGTTCTTGTAGAAAACTGAGATATCGTTTGAATTATATTCAACTCGACCCCTCCAAGTCATTTGAGTCTCTTCAATAGGTTGCGACCTCGTTCAGGCAAAATTGATTGATTGATTGTATTCATTACCTCTTGAAACATATAGCTACAGTATAGCCAAATCCAAGTGACCGGGATAAACAAACTCACTAACGAGTAATCTCTTATTGGTCAAAGCGCAAGGAACGTCATGTCTGTAGGCAAAAGTAGGGTTGTACCGACTGCACAACCGCATTAGTGATTACGTTATTGATGCGTGATCACTAATGCATACTACTGTATCCACATCTGGCCTCTTGGATTTGACAATAATTAATTCCACTCAGTAGAACAAATTCCCCAGTGTTTCTTGAGATTGAAATTATTATATTTTGATTCTGAGTACGCACGATCGGTGTACCCATTTCTTTCAATTTTCGTGATCACCTATAGCTATCATCATATACTCACATCTATTTTCATTTTTTCATCAGTATCTTTCGTATTTTCTTGTTGTTTCACGTATTAAAAATACCAACCCAATCGGTCAAACCGTTTAGTAGTTGACATACCAACAGCAGTGCCACCCAACGCTAACAACCATATTTTTAAATCATCCATGAATGAATCGAAATACCCATCTTCCATTTCTACCCAATCGGTTCAGCCGTTTTGAAGTTATGTGAAAAATATGAGTACGAGAGGATAATGCTTATACTACCCGTTGCCTTATTACTGTAGGAATGAAGCATCTTCTCGCGGTAAAAAGTAACCTTTGTTCATCAGGAATGATGTCGGCTTCTGATTTTGAGATGATATCTCAATTCGGTCCTGTAGTTTTGGAGTCTATTCAATACAAACAAACAAACGAACAAATCCTCCCTCTATAATATTATCAAGATGGTTGACCAGGCATTGTTCAAGATTGGTTTTGAATTTGCTTGGATCATGTATATTCTTCAACTCAATAGCTAATAGATTGTATAGAATGATTCTGTCGAGAAATACATAATAGGTGCCAATGTTTGACTCGATTGTATTTGTTATCATGATGATGGTCTAGTCCCATAACTCAGGACTGTATTTACTTCATGAGATGTTAAGTTTGCTACTCTCGAATCATTTATGTCAGAACGAATGGAACAACAAATTTTCAGTAAATATAACGAAGTCTAGTTCAAAATCTTCCTAGGTTTGTATAAATACATATACTGTGGTACGTACTAGAAAATGGAGATGAAAAATGCACTCGAATAGTTTTTTCCATTCTATTATTGGCTTTATCAGGCATGGAGAAGAGTCACCCTCGAAAAACAGATCAACCTGTGCTAGAGATTTTCCGGAAAAACGTCTTCCGTCGATCTGATAGTGTGATATAGATGATACTCACTCTGCAAGAGAAACAGCCCTCCGTGGTGATTAACTTATCCTTAGACCCGATGGCGTGTTGGTCGTCTATGGGATAAACGGGCACGTCCCCAATGTCCTCGCCGTAGCCCCCGTAGGCAGGCGTTATGGTGGCCAGGCAGTGACCTTGGCCGATGCGCTTGTAGCCCTGAGGGCAGCCGCACAGGTAGCCGCCTCCGGTCGTGGTGCAGCCGAACGAGCAGGAAGCCCCGATGCAACCGGCACTCACCTGGTGAAAAAAAAAAATCATTTTTTGAGTTTTTTTGCATGAATGACTCAATCTATATTGAAGAATGTGTGATACGTTATTCAAAAATAGTGAAGAATGATCAAGAGATATTGTGATAAGAGCAATCGATGAGACTCAAAACTTTCACAATTTCATGGAATGGAATTGATACCTTCCACCCCTATGCATCGATTAGAGGAAGATGGCCTTCATCGTGTCTCACGAATGAGAGTTATTTCATGGAAGTAAGATTTAAACAGGACCAAATCTCAGGTTTCGATAGAAAAGTTTCGACTCTGTTTGGATAAAGTGAGTTTGCTAGAACTGTTTGTTACTGCCTGTGGAAGTTCCTGCTGCTCAGCATTCACTATTGATCTAGGTAGTCTGTATCCTACTTAGAGAGCTTGGCAAGCTTGATGGTTTGATCCGAATATATCCGGCACGAACGACCAATAAGTTCGATGCTTGATAGATAGTGGACTGTATTTCTATGGTTGATATATGTTGATCAGATGACGATTGATACTAAAATAGCGATCCGTATTGCAATGCTCTCTTCATTTATGGATTTTTTTGGTAAATCTTATATTTCATCAACACGACGTCGTCTTGCTGACAACAAATGAAAATCTCTTATTTCATACGAGATAATACAAGTTTGAGGTCATACGAATACTGAACAAAGTGCATTATTGTCGTGATTGGGAGTGATTGACTGTGTAATTCACGACTTCGACTTGTGGAAAACCATTGGAATGAAGTATGTGAGGATAACTTTCTTCCAGATGGATGTCTTCACAAAATTTCATTGGATATTGGATTTGTTTATTCATATGTTTGGTTTTTTCCTCTTGTATTCCTTCATGAACACGTATGTTCATTGGGGTTAATGAATGTTGTTTTTATTATCTATTATTATGTCACAAATGAAAGTGGTAATCTTTGAGAGGGCTAATAATTTAAGATTTCAAGATTGAATGAAGGTACCGAACATCATTGCCATGATAACCTATACCTATTCGAATGATTCAAATAGAAATTATTGATGGAATATCCAGTTTTGAAATGAATAGGTCGATGTTTCTTTTGGCCTCACCTGAATGCAAATGTTAAGATGATTATCAAACTGGTATCCATCAGGGCATCCACACCTGTAACTTCCTGGGGTATTGAAACAGCTGCTGCTGCTACCGCACGGACTGTTTTGACATTCATTCTCATCGACACACTGATTATAATAAGGATGGAGAGCGTACCCTTGAGGACAATCACATCTATAACATAAAAAATATCGAGATAATAATTTTACTGTGTATTGAAGAAGAAGTTGCATTATTTCATGCGTATTATACCACCATGCAATACTTTTCACTTCAACCATTATATTCCTGCAGGTCCATAATGAGTTTTGAGTATGAGAAACACCTGAACACTATTACTCAAATTTTTTTGATGAACTTTCTGAAGAACAGATATCACCCAAATATCACGAAGTGTTCGTGTAACATGAAGATGAAAATACATCAAAAAATATTGATATCGAAAATGGTTCTTAGATTCTTCGAAAATAATGTTCTTCCTACAAAATTCCACCAAGATCAAGTACTTCATGAACCCAATGGATGGCGATATCGAAAATGGTTCTTAGATTCTTCGAAAATAATGTTCTTCCTACAAAATTCCACCAAGATCAAGTACGTCATGAACCCAATGGATGGCGATTAGGTTTTCCAATTATTATTTTCTACTTTTCTTATATTTCTTCTTGGAAACTTAGTCCCGATGATTTATTCGTCTATAAGTATTAATCATCAACTTGCAAGCAGCTACGAAAGAGATACAAGAGAACGTATTTGATATAATGGAACTTCAGAAAAATCGAAGAGAAATTTTTTTTTTCACCCAGTTGATATTGAATTGACATAAAGACAGCGTCAATGTGAAAACCAGAACAATCAAATTAGCTAATCAACAAGGTCTTCATCAGTGAGAACATAAAACACACTCTTATTATATGCAGGAGAGAAATTCTTCAATAATGATGGATGGGGTATAGATGGATTGAAGAATAGTTCGAGAGAGTTTGAGACCATAAAATGGTTCAATGTAGTGCAATAAGTGATTCAGGATCTACTACTGGGTCAAATTCTATTCAATTACCTGTAACCTCCGACAAGATTTTGGCATCCCTCGCTGCATTTGGTATCGTCGCTACACTCATCGACATCTATACAATAATGTCCTGTCGGATCCAGCTTGAAACGCCTTGGGCAGATGCATTTGAAACTGCCTAGGGTGTTCACGCACCTGCCTGGTTTGGGGCAGCAGCCTTCTTCTTCGCATTCATTGATATCTATCGAAATGTTCGAAATTCATGTCAACCTGACCATTGGTAAAAGTTTGTGAAGATGAGAAATTGAATGTTGGAAACGAGAGATCGAGAGCTGTTGGTAGAAATTTCATGTTGTTAATATGAAGATAATGATGAAGAATTGGGTAGATTCGATAATTTTCTGTATATTTCCGATGTTCAGTATACGAGCTCAGTCTCAGTGGAGTTGCCCCAACGCCCGAAATGGAACAAATGCGTTCGAACAATATTGAATGTATTTCCAACAAGATGGTGCCAGTGATAATTATTATTGATTTATTAATTTCACATAGCTATAAGAATGAATACATTCATAGTTCCGTTTTGACAGGTCAATTCAAATCATCGAGGACAATGCATTGTTATGGTATTTAATACAAAAAGTGTATTGATGATTATCGAATTACAAATCCCTCCGATTTTGAGAATTCAATTATGTTGCTTGATGACCGCGCAAAGCGCGAGCGTGATTGCCTGAAAGCAACAGAATTTTTTTTGAAAAAGAGTAGGGATTTTCGATAATCATCAACGAAACTAGTTGAATATATGTTAGGATCATTTCACATATTATTTCATGAATAAAACTATCATTTCGTGACATATTTTCATTTGCAGTCGGTTATGCAACTAATTTAACGTGCCGATACAGGTCTATTGCTATCTAGAAGTTGACAAGCAACTATAGACAGAGGAGGCAACAAATATTGTCGCGCGTCTCTTCTCGTTATTGGCCGAGATCGCTCGCAATATTTGATTCAGTGCCTATCACCATTCTTCCTGATGTTAAGTGTTGAGTGCTATTTATCCCTGAATATGAAATTATTATGACATCCATGTCCATAATAGTCTTTTATATTTGATCGAACTACCAATGAGGAAGCGAAATACAACATCGAAATCATAGCCATGTAGGTATGCAGTAGCCAATCAACAGTCGAAATACAAAAACGAAAACATCATGTATTTGATTATCAACACAGATATTTCAACCAATCAAAAACATTCATTCTGTAATGAGTGGAATAATCAGTATAATACCGAATGATTGGCTATTATTATGAATTGATATTGGTTGAAACAACAAAAAGTCACATATTGACATGTGCATAAATAATCGTTATTATTTTTATTTTCAATATTACCGTGACAGTTGTCTCCGATCTGCGTATACCCCTCCTCGCAGGAGCACCGGTAGCTGCCGTCGGTGTTGATGCAGTTCTGCTGACAGACGTGTTGGCCAGTGGAGCACTCGTCCAGGTCGCGGCAGGTGGCGCCGTCAGCGTTCAGCAGGAAGCCGCCCGGGCAGGAGCACGTGTAGCCACCCTCGGTGTTGTGGCAGGTGTATTGGCAGTGCGAGGTGTTGGTAAGGCATTCATTGATATCTGTAGGAAGAGAAGAGATGAGTTTCGACATTTTTCAAGGGAAACTTCCTTTGGGAGCGTTTAGCATTTTTTTTGGGGTGAACGAAAACATTGATTATGTGACATTTGTGCCGCTTGGGCAGGAGCACTTGTAGCCACCCTCGGTTTTGTGGCAGGTGTATTGGTAGTGCGAGGTATTCCTAAGGCATCCGTTGATGTCTGTGGAAAGAGGAGAGCTGAGTTTCGACTTTTTATAAGTGGAAATTTCTTTCGGCACGTTTAGCACTGTTTCTGGGTAAACAAAAACATTGAATTTGTGACATTTGTGCTGCTTGAGTAGGAGCATGTGTAGCCACCTTAGGTGTTGTGGCAAATGTATTGGCAGTGCGAGGTGTTCGAAATGGAATTCGTTGATGTCTGTGGAAAGAGGTGAGCTGAGTTTCGACTTTTCCTAAGTGGAAATTTCTTTAGGCGCGTTTAGCACTGTTTTTGGGTAAACAAAAACATTGAATTTGTGACATATGTGCTGCTTGAGTAGGAGCACGTGTAGCCACCCTCGGTGTTGTGTCAGGTTTATTGGCAGTGCGTGCTGTTCGTAAGGCATTCATTGATGTCTGTGGAAAGAGGAGAGCTGAGTTTCGACTGTTTTGAAGTGGACATTTCTTTAGGCGCATTTAGCACATTCTTTGAGTGAACTAAAACATTGAATTTGTGACATTTGTGCTGCTTGGACAGCTGCACGTGTAGTCGCCTTCGGTGTGTTGTGGCAGGTGTACTGCCAGTGCGAGGTATCCGTCGAGTATTCGTTGATGGATTTGTGGAGATAAGGGGTGGATTTTGATGTCTCTTATTTGATGGAGATTGAGAACACACTTTCCACTGTATCCGATTGAAATGTTGCCCCTGTGACTTAAATCTACCTACGGATTTGTTTCGCTCTCTTCCAAATATTTTGTTGAATCACAAGCACGTATTATATCGAAGAACATAAGAACACAAACATGTGTATGCTATACTCATTGGAATATCAGCTATATTCCCTATTTCCCAATAAAAGCTGATGGATTGATCTTCATAATATAGGAGCAAAAGGAGTTACCCTTTCATCCATAACTTCTTAACGCCCTGTGGCAAAGATGAGTTATTGAACTCTGCTTGATTTTGTTATCGATTGAAGAGTGGCACAATGGCTTTTGATTCACGTTAATATCTCCTGTTGGAAAAAAAATGAAGTTGTTTTGAGAAAGTGAGGATTTTTCAGGTTTCAATAAACAATAATGCAGAACCTACATGAGCGTATCAATTAATATTCCTATCCCGTTTCCTAAACACTAACAAGCAAAGAAGAACCGTAAATACAAAGATCAGATCTAGATGTAGTCAATAAACGATTATGTCATCCTCGAGCTTGAACTGTAGCATGTTTGTTTGTTTGTTTGGTTTTTTGTTTTTATTGAAAAGTCCCCGAAACTACTGGACTGATTAGAAAAATGTTTTAATCATTAGAAATCGATATCATTCCTGATAAACATATTCTACGTGAAAACGGGTAATAGAACAACGGGTTGTAAGAATCAAGACTTTCGAACTTATCTTACTCGCATAATTTCTAGACGACTGAACCGAAGGGGTTGAAATTTGATATAGGTATGCCGAAGGTTTCCTGGATGATTCGAAAAAACAATTGAACGCGGTATGTGGCGCGGCTGTCGGTACGTCAACTATTAAACGGCTCAACAGATTGGGTTGAAACTCTCAATACGTAAAACAACAAAAAAAATACAAAAGATACTTAGAGAATGAAAATAGGTGTAAGTATATAATAGCAGCTATTAGTAAGCACAGCAAATTGGGAAAGAATAACGAAAAAATATTTACTGTAGATGACTTATTTTTTTCAAATGGATACACCAAGCGTGCTAAGCCGGGCCAGGCATCTAGTTGTTAATAACAAACATACCTACTTGAATCTTCTCTGGAATTGAAACAAGATATTGACGTGAATCAAATTACATTTCAATTAAAAGGGATCCCACTTTAAAATAAAATGGATTCAAATCCAATCACCACTTATTTTAAAGGTCAATAAAAAGTTGAGGGTGCAAGAGTAACTTTCGTTACAGGAATAGAAGAGTTGCATGGCGATCTATGTCGCTAATGATTTCCTGACTGTTTTTTTCTTCCGCTGGTGAGTGCTAGTGACAATAATTATAATTGATCACTGGTTAATGAGTGTAAGTGAAACACTATTTTTCTACCTACCATTCTGTTGTTATAAGGAGTATCCCGAGCAATGGTTATCAAGTGTATACATTACCTAAGCAGTATAGTCCAGAGACATCGGGTTTGAATCCCTTATTGCAGATGCATCTATAAGAGCCCATGGTGTTGATACACCTACCATTGTGGCACAGATCAGCAATCGTTTCACATTCGTTGATATCTACGAAAAAAAATGATATTCATCAATTTTGTCAGTTATGTATTGATTTGAAAGGGAAGCGTGGAATATAATAATTGTTTCGAATAATATTCGTCTGACTCACATATTGTCTACCTATATGCTGAACAATGTATTGTATCGAACGTCTAAATAAGAGAAATAGATATCAATATATGTATCACGGCGGTACACTTCGAGACAGAAGGAGTGACATTTTTCATTGTTGATTCAAGAATATAATCCACCTTGGCAAACACAGTGAAGCTGATCGGATTTATTGCATGAACAAGGCATTTTTCAAGCGAACATGTCTTTAGGTGCGTTCAGCAATTTTTTCGGTGAAGAAACCCATTGAATTTCGCGTCATCGTCACGTCACGTCACCATTTGGTTGTTACGCTTTCACGCCAAAACTACTCCATCGATTTTCATGGAACTTGTATAAATAGTCATAGATGTATATAAAAGGGTGAAGAATTGAAGATGGCGGATTCAATATGGCGGACGAGTATTGTAATCATCATGATCCGACTCTATTCAAAAAGGTATCTGCAGTTTTTTGGGGTCAGAGATCTTCATTCTCCTGTCAAAATTTGGAAATTCAAGATGACGGTACCAATATGGCGGACGAGTTTTTGGATAATTATGATCCAATTCTATTCAAAATTGGTATCTGGGGGTTTACTAGGACGGAGATCATGATTCCTCCGTTAAAATTATGAAATTTATGATTGCGGATTCAATATGACGTACTAGTTTTGTACGAACTTCTATTCAACATTTGTATCTGAGGGTTTTCGCGATCAGAGATTCCATCATCAAAACTGGAAAATTCAATTTCGCAGATCCCATATGGCAGACGAGTTTTGTGATTATTATTTACAATGATCTGATCTCATTTAAAATTTGGGTTTTTTTGCGATCGGAGATAGTGAATCATTCGTGTAAGTTGAGAGGTTTAAGTGAACTAAAAAGGAGTAAAGTAATAATCATCTAATAACTTGACGATACAATTCACACGTAACTCAGTTGTCACTTCTATCGGCAGTACCCAAAGACTGTTTCTGCAGATTTTCTCAAACAGGATGTAGAATTCATGCAAACTACCCACCAGGAATTCCTTCTATGAAAATGCAAAATAACGGAGGAGATATAATAGTTCATTACTAGTTTATACGGATTGGCTGCGTTTGCTCTGATCCAACGTCACAAGAGCCAATCTGTTTATAAAAATGATTCATAATTTTAGATATGCCTTAGATTGAGTATATTTGATTCAAAGTTATCTACATGAATACCATTGCTCCGAGGAAACTAGTGAACTGATGAGACTTGTCAAGCAGAAGCTGAAACAATAATATATCTCAGATCAGCTGACAATCGTTTCGCGAAAATTCCATGAATTTATCTTCTGATTTTATATTTCCCTATACTCAGAAAAAAATTAGTCCACTTCGAGGATTCTAGTTGTGATAGTTTGTAGAGTTGTAACATTTTCACGTATGAGTATGATTTTATCATTCAATCAGCTCATACACCTCTGCTATCAGATGAATCTGAAGATGAGAAACATCCAAAACGAAGTGGAGTATCAGAATTAATTTTCTAAGAGCAAATCCCTCAAGCATTTACCTGTTCCGTCCACTAGATATCCGCTGTCCAAGCACAGCTCCTGGTATTGCGGCGAATACCTCGGAGGGCACAGCTCGCACTGTGGCCCCCACGCCTCCCCCATGGAGCAGCAGCAGTCCGCCATCGTCGATGTCATTCTCGACTCTGTCTCGCCTAATGTGGCTCTGCATCTGCCGTTTACCAATTGTTTGAAACACGAGCCCTGTCTCTTATCTGAAATGAAGGGTAATTGTGTAAGCGATGGTCTCCCTGGAAAGGCATTTCGGTCAATACTGTTATCAATAAAATACGTCTCTATGAGAAATATAAAGTTCGAAACTATGTTGGTTTTTTTTATTTCGAGAAATTACGATTTATTTCTTGAGATAATCATCAACGCCGTTCTTTTTATTCCCAATATCCCTTGTTTATTCTGAACTATATAGAAAGACCACCAGATAAAAATCGATACGTTTATTTTTGTATTTTTTCGAACTGAATCTTTGTTGAATGATCTAACTAAAAATAGATATTTCGAACAAGCCACAAGAAACAAAGCCGAGCAAATCTCTTGTTCTCATGTAGTTAATTCAAAATTTATTCTTTGTCTCAACATGATTTTCAAATACTTCTCCCAGTTGGAGCCAGTTACCAATTGTTTGCAGGGAATTTTTGTGGATCTGTTATGCAGATATTCTGAAATAGGAATGACTCAAATGAGTGTTCTAGGAGGATGCTCACAAAATACGAGGACATTTCTGATGAATCTAGAGAAGACATCAAGCAATCATGCAAAGATAGAGTGTTGTCAGAGTTTAGTGAACAAGCCTAGCTGAAGCGAATCCATCACGTTAAAGAATGAATTCTGGCATAATCGGTTCGTGAGTACTTATCTGGAAAGAAGGATGGTTGTGTGAACGATGGTCCACCTGAGTCAAAGTTCAGATAAAGTTTGGTGAAGAAACCTAGCTGATGAGCCATTTTTATGTTGGAAAGTGAATTCTTGCATGATCGACCGATGAGTATCTGAAATAAAGGATGATTGTGAAAACGATGATCCGTTTGAGATAGAGTTCAATAAGGGTTTGGTAGAGAGACCTAACTAACGCGCAATTTTTATGTTAGAGAATGTATTCTCACACGAACGATCCGTGAGTACTTATCTGAGAAGAAGGATGGTAGTTTGAACGATGATCCACTTGACATAAAGTACAGTGAGAGTTTGGTAAAGAAACCTAACCGACGCGCAATTTCGATGTAGGAAAATGTATTCTGACATGAAGGGGGCCAGGTATCCGTGCGAACAGAGTGTCAATATTCTAATCCGCATTTGCTTGCCGGTCGTGGGTTCAATTCACTGAAGCTGCAAAAAATTTTTCTGATGGCCCAAGAAAGTGTTTGGGATCATACATTGAAAGGTAAGGCCTCCGTCATTCGTTGCTCGCACAAGACTCTCGAAGATTTCTGAGGGTTGCTCGTAAGGGGGCAACCGAATAACGGGGAGAACAATTTTAGAACAACAATAATCGACCGATGAGTTTCTGAAATGAAGGATGGTTGTGTGAACGCTGATCCAACTGAGGTAAAGTTGAGGTTTGGTGGAAAAACCTACCTGACGCGCATTTTTCATGTTGGATAATGTATTCTTGCATAATCGACCGATGAATATCTGGAATGAAGGATGATTGCGTAAGCGATGGTGCACCTGAGAAAGAGTTCAGTAGGAATCGGGTGAAGAAACCTAGCTGAAACGCATTTTTTATGCTAGAGAATGTATCCTTGCATAATCGAGCAATGAGTAATTTTTTTGTGAAATTTGTATATTGCTACATGGGAAATGGGAACCCACCCCCCAGAAGATGATGCTTGTGTGGCGTTAGCAAGAGTGGGACCTACAGCTTGTAGTGGATTCTGAACCTATGTAGAGCGCAGAGGTGCAGCCAGGAATTAGTAGAAGTTTGGTGACGCGCCTTCTTAATGTTAAATAATATGTATTCTTGCATAATCGACCGAAACGTAGGTTTCCAGTTTTTGGGAATGTTCTCGTCATAAGCTCAAAGCTTTGACTCGGTTGCCTGACGCCCTGGAAACATGATCTTTGTTCAATTTCAAGACCAGAAAGTAATTTTCAGGAAAATCAGTCTTCTGAGACTCTCGACACATACAGGGTGTTATTTAACACGTTGACTACCAAGCCTGATTTCAACATTCTGACCCAGGGTACCATATGTATCACCGGTGATGCTTTTTCATAGTTCACTTCTGTACTTTATGTATCACCGGTGATAATGAACACATATTATTTGAATGCTTGTAGAGAAGCCTAGTGTATAAACGAAGGAATTAGATTGTGGGTATGGTACAGGTATGAACCAAATAATATCGGGTTGAAGTGGGTATCACCAGTGATACACATAAATCTGGAAAATGCCTATAGAAATTGACTGGATTATTCTGATGAAAAGACGCACCGCTCACTCTCTTGTCAATTTTTTATTGAAATTGTTACACTCATAAGTAAATGATAATCTTATCAATAATCATTGTACAAAGAAAAAACTGATGTTTTTTTTTTGAAAACAGTCCAAACAGTATGAAGGTTTCTCGGGGCATTCCGCGTAAAAGGTGGTAACCAATTTTGTATGTTTTTCTGCCATCTTTGAATTTTTGCGTACTCCTCGAAATACGTTTTTCGTCTTAATTGTCCATTATTTTCTGATGAATGTTTGAATAAAGGCGCTCATAATCGAAGAAAAAACATCAAAATATATAAGGAGTTCCCTACAATCATATGATGAAATAGTTCATTTATGTACCATGTGAATCACCGGTGATCTTTCAGCAAACTCTATCGAGATGAAGGCATCTGCTCCAAAATACCATATAGCGACATCTTGTAGCGAAAGGCTACGTTTTGAGTTTGATTCTTCACTTGGTACAGAGAGGAAGTATGCGATTTTTTACGGTGGTTTGTAGAGCAAATGAGAGTGTGCATCACATGAGACTCATATGGTAGCCAACGTGTTAAGTACGTGGCCAAACTTGAAGGGGTGATTCTTTCAGTGATTCTAAGACGAAAAGTTCATATAAACATAGGTCCGGTAATGCTTCGTTTTCAAGATACAGGGTGTCAAAGTTTTTAAAAGAAATCGTTTTTTCGTAAATATCTTAACAACCCTTCAACCGATTTTATTGAAATTTGGCAGTGTTATTCAAGGTCGTAAAGGGCTAATTCAACCCTAACTATATCAAAATTATCATGTCCAGTGGCGTCCCGGAAGGCACTGTAACCAATATTTCTGACAGAAAAAATGTTCGCCACTGATTTTTTTGCAATTTTTGTATTTGTTTCACATTGAGCAACTAAAATTACAACTTTTTTATATCTAGAATTTTTTTCGTATCTTGCTTTGTTTTTGAGAAAAAACATAAAAATCACTTTATTGCACATCCCTGTGACGAGCCGAAGCCAAGAGCCGAAGGCAAGTGCTGCCATTCATACATACATATTTTTTGTTTTTTCATTGCATTAATTTTGATAGAAAATTCCAAGACTAGAATAGAGTATTAATATGAAAAAATATTAGTAAGACCCCAGTTTTTGATGGTTTAGTAGTTGAAATGTTTTATTGTGTTGTCACAGGGATGTGTAATGAAGTGATTTTTATGTTTTTTCTGAAAAACAAAGCAAGATACGAGAAAAATTCTGGATATAAAAAAGTTGTAATTTTAGTTGCTCAATGTAAAACAAATACAAAATTTGCAAAAAAATCAGTGGCGCACATTTTTTCTGTCAAAAATATTGGTTACAGTGCCTTCCGGGACGCCACTAGACATGATAATTTTGATATAGTTGGGGTTAGGGTTAAATTAGCCCTTTACGACCTTGAATAACACTGCCAAATTTCAATAAAATCGAATGAAGGGTTATTAAGATATTTACGAAAAAAACGATTTGTTTTAAAAACTTTGACACCCTTTATCTTGAAAACGAAGCATTACCGGACCTATGTTTATATGAATTTTTCGTCTTAGAATCACTGAAAGAATCACCCCTTCAAGTTAGGCCACATACTTAAATAACACCTTGTATATTTCTTCCGGATCGTACGAGAGAAAGAACCAACTTCATTCATGGAACATGCAGACATTTCTTGGCTTGACATTCCATCGGGCACCCAATTTCATATTTTTCAACATAAATCAAACTTTGGTGTATTTTTTGGTGTCAGGATACTTCAAAATATGAGACAATAATATTTTAGAGATGTGAAAGTATACCAATGAATCTGCAGTACCCTATATTCATGAAAACCTTCGCATCACCATTCGAATTTGTGAGATGCCCAGCAAAATCGCTACGATGAATTCTCACATGGAAGGGTGTAAGTATCAAATTCTTCAACAGTCATTCTCATTTCATCATTTCGTAACGATCGTCGGAAAAGGTGTAACTCTTTCGATTTATTGTGATTTTTTCAATAAAAACTATGTATATCTTGTCACACACTTTATCATAACAAAATTTTTATACCATTAAAATTCTGCTGTATCTCTCTAGAAAATAATTTTGCGACATTAATTCATTCTACTTTTTTCTCCATATCATCTGAGCTTGTGATCAAATTCATATAATCTCCCATTGAGTTAGATTATACCTACCTATTCAAGCGAGAGTATATAATTCGTCATATCATTCGAGTTCGTCGAATGCGTTTCGATATAATGAAAATTTCAATTGAAGGGATGTAATTGTCCAATTATTGAATAAGTATTCCCATTTCATCACTAGGTACGGATTCCAAAAATTGATTTTCTACTTCACTCTTTTTATAACTTTGGCTGAACATTTCATTGAACAATCCAGTACAGAATTTTCCATAATTCATACTCGGCTTTATCTCTTGAAGCCAGAATGCTCTGAAGTCAAGACGCCCAACTAAATTTTTCTCAAGCCCTTATTCGAATTACCAGAAGATGAACATTATATTTAATAATGAGTATATCCTTTGTGTTAAGGAGTGTCCGAGTGAAGTTTGATTTTTGTCACTCTCACTGGATATAAGGTAGGTTCTTCATCATTTGTTTCAATTAGGCATATGTCTCAGCTCTGTTCATTCACTTTCTATTTATTGCTGTTATTCGTGAAGAATAGGAAATAACAACTGAACATCATCTCTAGTTATTCTCAACCAACTTCGATCTTTCTCTATAAACTCCACTGTTTTTTTCGTTGTGATTTGTCATGCCATGTCATGACAAAATGAAGTTACAAAAATAATGGAAACGATAAGATATTCAATATATTAATGGTTACTTCAGGAATGTGAATCGATCCGCGAATAATTTTGATTCGTGAATTCAGTTTTCTGCTGATATGTCTCATGTCATAACATATTTTATATATATATTTTGTTTTGAGGTTTTTCCTTGCCGACAAAAAACTTTGAGAAAATAATCAATAAAATATTGTTATTTATGGTAGCCAAGGTTATCCTCTGACGTTGCGATGACATGAACACTATGAGAAAACATCCCTATTTACTGGCATAAATTGGAAGTTAGACATCATACATCATTCTTCAACCCATTCACGCTCACCTTTTGATTTATCATACGCAAATTATCCGTACTTTTGAGGTAATTTTTTTTTGTGGAAGAAGTTGTTTCAGCTTGGATTCAGCTGTGAATCAGTACGATCACTCATCATGAACATATCAACAGGTAGTTATTGCAGAATACGAGTTTTGGAAATATCGAGTGTTCACACGTAGCTTTATCCGCATTAATCTATTGGTCTCAATTGGAAATGAGCAGAAGGTGAGCTTTAATTGTATTAAATACGAAATCGTTTTCCACTCGAGGAAAAGTTAATATTTCTAACCCCAGCTTCACACAATATATCCCAATGCTCTCTTTTGTAAAAGGAAGACTGATTTGAATGAATGGTCAGAACATGTACCGTGATGCAAATGTGATTCGATGAGTGAATAGTGAACATTTTCGGCCGCATTTGATCCCAATTCATTTGAAGCAACCCTCACAGAATAGCAGCCAGATGCTAGCTTTTTACTCAAAAGTAGTATGTACCTTTCAAATTCCAATTTAACATTATCGATATCACACGTGAAAACAATTATTATACCTGTCTGGTTTATATTGAAATGAATATCAATTGGTGCCACACCATGATTCAACTTTCAAGTCCTCGTTTATGATATTTTCCAGTACTAAGCAATTCTTTCTCGAATTCTTTGTATATCAAAGAGTAGTCATATCGTCAGCAAATACGGTGTATCGTCCCTGAATATCGATTTGCATCAAGTCATTCACATACAGTATGATGCAAATGTATGGAATAAATTCATTTCGAAACAAGACGACTTTCGAAAAAAAAAACAAGAACTAGAGTTTAGAACTTCTTTTCGACGTATTTTTTTAACTAGACGACCCTTCGATGTTCAATTCTCAGTAGCAGGCCTCTGCAAGATTCAATTAATCACATGATAATCCATTTTAATTTCAATCTTCTTATGCAACATTTTGACTGTTGAATAGACGATCGGTAGACCTTTCAATCAAGGTATCACATGACCCCTATTTGTATTTGAAAAAATCGTCCATTACGTCTTTACTCCAACACCGGTGACGTAACATCTCTCATATGAATATCATGAGATGAGGCTTCAGAAATTAAAACTCACGTGTTTTTGGAATTTTTTCAAATGTCGCCCATTTCTGAAATAATGAATTTATTCCATACATAAAAATAACAAGGGACCAAGTGCAGAGCCTTGCGGACCTCCATGTTTCACAGCTGACAGCTGTAACAGCAACAAGAAATAATAATTGTAGGCAAAGTGGTCCAGAACACTCATACCGTTACTGCTTTAGGTTCATTCGGGTTGCGGTTTCAGAACTGTTCAAGAATAGTTCTCGAACTGCGTAGAACTAGTGCGCAGTCGTTTCGAATCCTAGGACTGTTCCAGAACGGTTCACAAATTATGGAAACCCGAACGCGGCAGAAGAGAACCTTTGAGAACATAGCCTCTATTTAGAATTTGCGAAAAAAAAACAAAAGTTTGGAACCTGTATCTTCATTTGAATAATATTCACAATATCTCTGGAAGCCCTCTGTGAAGGAATGGTGAATATATTCCATCATAGCATTCATAGCTAGATTTTCAATATGTTTTGTTCCTTGTACCCACATGAATTTCGACTCCCACCTGAAATGTTCAATGAATTGTGTATCTGGATATAATAGCAATGTATCCCCAAGGTGATCCTACATTTTTTCGGATTATCTAACAAAAATAGGGAATTATCAGATTAGGCACAACATTTTCAGCAACTTCAGCAAGGAACTCCTTCACCACTGCTTCCTGAAGATGAATGTACTCACTCCATAATATTGGGAAAATAGTGCGAAGAGCAATAAACAGTTGAATAAACAAAAATATATCATTATGACGTTACGCTACAACAGACAGAATCGAAAACTATATGGAATGAGCATGCGCCAAAAATATTCCTAGAACGGTTCATGCTCGATAGCAGGTACTGGTTTCGGATAGTTCTAGGACCGTCCCAGGACGATTCTGGAAAAACCCGAACGCGTAAAGAGTCAGTCCTAGAACAGTTCCACAAAACCCGAACGCGACCTACTCTACTGCGCAAACTCCTGACTCTAGGACCGTAATATCAATATCTAACCACTCACCGACGCATCGTTTCCGGTCTGCAGTATGCTCGAATCCTTCGTGGCACTCGCACACGTAGGACCCATCGAGGTTGCGGCACCGACCGTTCTGGCACAGGGTCGGATCGGCGCACTCGTCGATGTCTTGGCAGTCGTCGGACAGACCCACTTGACTGTACCCGGCCGGGCATATGCACATGAACGAGCCTATCAGGTTCTTGCACATGAATCTGCAGTTGTTCGCCGGTGTACTGCATTCATCGACATCTAAAGAAATCAATTACTTAGTTCAAGTGAAAAGGTGAGAATTTAAGTAGTGGTCGACACGTTATAATTAACCACTTTCAGATTTCCTCACCAATGAGACAACGTAACGGAGAGCTTTCCAAAAATACCCTACTCAATATTATTATTTCTTTATTTCACAATGTTTGGTCATCCAAAACAGAGTCTGATCGATTTTTGAATGATTTTTGAGAGACAATGATTGTAATTTTTTTATCTCTTGTAGCGTACGGAAGGAAATTCGTATAATGTTCGAAGAACATCATGCGAACATAGAAAGGATAGGGAGGGGAGGTAGGTGTTAAAAATTTTTTGAACCTCTGGAGGTTATAATTCCTTGAAAATACTTCCATTGGCAAAAGAATACTTTTATTGGCAAATGATCCAGATATATCAGTTATATAAAGATAGATAAAATCAAGAAATCATCATTTGAAAATGCATAAAAAAATACTCGTTTCACTTAGAGCGAATGAAAAGTTTGAGAAAAATCATCGAATTCAAAATAGCAACTGATTATAGGTTATATATTATCTATTGAACCTTGAGAGAGGCTGAAGAATGATCCGCGAGACCTTTGGAATTACATAAATTCAGAAAAATGTGTCTCGCATTCCGGGTCGAATGACTGACTAATAATCAGACACATTCCTCAGCATTCTCTTTATTGTAATTGCATTTGCAACATACTTCAATTGTGTATATAGGGAAGATCACAATGACGTCAACAGTGATACGTTCCTGCCAAATCACATAAACCATCCTCACTTGAATTCAATAACAAGGATTTTAGGACCTTAGATTGCTTGAAAACCAAATATTTCACACTGATCAGTAGCAAATTGGAGTATTTCTGTGTCGTTTGAAATCCGTCTCATATGAAACATATGTATAACTAGCTTGGAAAATGTAAAAAAAATTTGAAATATGCATTTTTTCTGGAAACACGGCGTTTACCCTGAGGAAGTTTACAGTTATGATCCACTGTTGGACGAGTTCCATATGATAGCTTTGAAGAAATTCAGGAATAGCATATAAAATCATAGGTACATGGACAAATAGATTGTTCACCCCCTATTCAGTGTACCGCGTATTTCATCTAGGTTCTGTAGCACATTTTGTATTACTTTTTCCAATACAGTACATTATTCTCATTCTCCTATAGCTACTTTATCTAGAATTGTTAATAAGGTTTATATATAATATGTTCTAACGTTCAAACAATCCAAGAAACAGATTCCCCATTTCATTCAGAATTGACTCTGCTATATGTGCAAATATTTATAATATTTAATGTTCATTGTATACATCTGTGAATGGGCTTTCGAGACTGCTAGATGTATTGTACCATTGAATATGGCTAATTATGACATTCAATTCTCATTGGCGACGATCTCTGATGATCAATAACGTAATCATTGACATGGCCAACTCTCAAAAATCGATCATGCTCCGTTTGTTTTGAAAGCTCATATTTTGAGAATCTATTGATTTTACTGACCTGTACAGTGTCTACCATCTGGTGCTAAGGCGTATCCATATGGACAGATACATCTGAATGAACCAGGAACATTGTGGCACCTGAAGGCACATTGGTTTCCAATTTCGAAACATTCATTCACGTCTTCACAAACCTGTAATGGCACATGTTGTTTAACCTTTCAATGCCTAGTCGGTAAACACTTTCAGTGTATACTTTCAGTATGCTATGGCCTATTGCAGAGGTAGTGATCAGTAACAGATGATGCAAGTTAGTAGGGACCCCGATTCGGCATTAGGCGATGGAAAAAACTGCGTTGGTAAATTCCAGGCCACTTACACAAAATGTACATGAAGAATTATTAGACGACATGGATTTGGACACCGACTTTGATAATCAAAGCAAAGGATAGTCGATTTTCAGTAGTTTGTAGTTCAACATACTGTCTGTAGATTATTTGAGGATGTTGAATATTGATTTCAGTAACTGTGTGGGACTTCATCTCCTCGTTTTTGTACTGAGAGGAATCAAATGATTCGACCCAAAAAGCTCAAAATATTACTATTGAAAACGTGAAAGAGAAATTCAATCGATAGGTAGTCAGTAACAACTTGTTCGGAAATTTTTTGACGAAGTAAAATATGGATATATTGGGAAATTTTGTTTTCTTTCTGACCTTCTGAGAAATAATCTGTTACCGTTTTCAACATGATATTGTTATTTTTTTTTTCAAATTGTCTCTCCGTTCTCGATGATACACTTCCCAGTAATAAATTCCAGATCAGTTGATGAAAAAAATCTGTAGCCCACATTGTCTGTTAACTTTTATCACTTATAATTACACGAAAGCCTTTTTTTGTCGAAGTAGACTTGAAATTTCTGGCAAGAAAACTTGAATCATAAATGTTGTTTACTTCGCCCCAAAAAATGCTTCTGTGTAGTTCGGTAAGACAATTCAATGAAAATCACGTAAATCTCCTCATTGTTAATCTATTTTTCAATTTCCCTACTCCAAAATGGGGCCTTTTCCACAGATCAAAATAATATAAATGTGAAAACTCCACAAACGATAAGATTTCCACAAAATTTAATAAATTTTGTGGAAATCTTATCGTTTGTGAAGTTTTTACATTTATCATGGATTCCCATCAAGTAACGGCCGAGTCAATAAAAAAAAATAATATACTTTCTGTCAACGCAAGATTGGTACAAACGCCATGAAGATATGTTCATAATTCTGGTTGTCGTGGTTTCGGGAGCTAGGTTCCGTTTTGTCGGTGGAAAACATAGAGCAAAGTTTCTTCACAGTCACAATGACAAAATTACAGCAGCTCATATTTTATAAATGAGTTGAATCGTCACTGAAAAGAGGCAACTGACGAAACGAAGAGACAATTTGCAAAAATAATTATCAGTTTTGTAATGGGAGACGTCCTGGGACATCCAGATGATGTATTCATATTGAAAATAGTACAATATGAGCATGTCCCTGGGATGTGCTTGTTAGGACTCGGTACATTTCTCAGAAAACCAAGAGGACAGGATATCTCTTCTGATGAAAGTGGATGTATTTGTATAGTTCTCATAGCGAGAGTTCCTGAATGTACTTGACACTGCTGTTTTTAAGTTTTTTGTACATAAGAGTACGGGAACTAGACAAGCAGTGACAATCAAACATAACCACAGACGATTTGGAAGCAAATCATATGTTTTGCCAGACAGGGACAAGAATAAGTTTTTCGCTTGGATAAAGGATCCTCGCATCTTCTTTCCTCCGCAAGTCCTGGGAAGAGTACATCCATATATCTTTCTCTGTCTTTGATTTTTGTTTGAGAGTGCATAGCGTCTTCTTGAGTGGGTGGGAGGGTTCGATAAATTGATTAGAAAATTATTTCTTTTCGAAATATTGAATGATAAGGCTGAAGGACCTCAATGGAGGTCGATTCAAGATAGTAGGAACATAATATATTTCAACGAAATACATTTAGTATTCTTATAAAATAAATCTCTCATAGGTATATATACACGTTCAGTTGAATATTTGTTTATTACAAAAGTTCAGAATGGGGTAAAAACTGATAAATTTTAAAAAACATACTTCTATTTCGTGTGGAACAATTCCACCTATACAAGAGTGGTAGGTAATAAGTGAATAATAAATATACAAATGATATGGCAACAATAATAGCTGATTTTAGTAAGACTTCAGCGCTCGACTCACTATGGATCACCGTTCACATTGATAAAGGGGATTGTTAGTTGGACCCGGCCATCGGAAGATCAAATTCAATACCTAACTTGCACTTGTTAAGCGTTCTTGTTCTGTGCACTGATAATATCTTGCTCGTATCTTGGTACCCAAGAAGTTCTTCAAAATCCACTAGGAGCTATGTAGTCGTCTAGCACTTCTCAACGACGCATGGAACATACACATTCAGACTTGGGATATCAACTTTGAAGAAGTGATACACGAAAAATATATTCAATTCTTCGATATAGATACATCATTATCTGGTACATCAGAGTTCCACAAAGTGACTATATGTTTTCACAAAATTATCATAAGAGTTCGTATACGAAGTTGATCTGGAGAATTTCTGGTTGAACAGGGATGTGAAATCTGTTTGAGTCAGTCAATTAAGGAAGTTGCTGCTCTTTCATCATCAGATTATCGATCATGATCTCCATGGTAGCTATTGTGATCTGTGCTTCATCATTCCACCACAAGCAATAACCACAGTCTAAATTGGAATAAGGTTCTTTTCGATACTCGCTCAGTTCATTATCCTATTCTTCAACTTCAATTTTGTGGCCTGAATCTATATTCCATGCCGGCTGCATCATATTTTGCTTCCAATTTTGTAGAATTACGTTATCCGATAGAAATACGAATAGAATTAATTGTTTTACCGTGTTTTCACAGTTGGAAACTGCACAAACTTACATTCTTCTCCTAATTCTCTCAATTTGTCAAACCTTTGAAATGTGTGTCATGTACGTCCGTGTACTGTCAGTTCCCGCTTTTCCCATCAATTTATTTGTGATTATGTCTGATTGTCAGTGCTTGTCATAGTGTCTAATATACAAAAAACGTCAAAATGAGCAGTGTCAAGTACATTTAGGACCTCTACTCATAGCAAATGATGGCCATTTTGGGATTTTCCAAGAGGGTGCTTGTGTTGCGTGTTCTGTTGTGAAAAACCACAATTGATACACACGGTACGCTCCGTAGACACTAACCTGCAACGCCCCAGGGGCGAATCCGTCTCTGCAGCTGCACTCAAATCCTCCGACGACGTTGGTGCACGTGCCGTTTCCACACACTGTCGGCGTCGTGACGCACTCGTCCTCGTCGATGCACTTCTTACCCGACGTGTCGAGTACATACCTGTGGAAATAATCAACAAAATGTGCTTCATTGTCCAAGAATATTGTTCTTATTGACGAAGCTCACATTAAATGTAGAGAAAGTATCAATTTTGTCAAAGAAGAAAGAATATGTATCCCAGTACAAAATGAAATGTGAAAAACTACACATGATGTGAAGTAATAAGTTATAAATAGAAAAACACTGACATAGGTACATATACAAAGATGATCAAATGAATTATTGAATCTTAGTATGAGATCACATACAGCTTCTAATATTATGCTATATCGTTGTAGTGGATATAATCAAGGATAAGAAAAATCTCTGAGGCCCGTCCTGAATATTATGGCGTTTTTGCCTTTTTCGAACGTTTTGGTGAATGGTCATACATTTCTTGCTCTTATATACCAGGTGGTTCAAATTTGATCCACACCATAGGGATTCGAAAACTATTAGAGATACGAAGATAATTAAATTGGGACAAAGATGCGCATTTATGTAACTAACAATATGCAATTTCTGCCAAAATTACAGTGACTTACAAAATAACCGAATCTCATTGGATGTGACAGATTGAAAGTGAAACATCAAACTCAAAGTCTAAAAAAATGGTTGTTCTTATCCATCTTTTGGTCTTCAAGCGACTTGTGCGAGCAAGGAATGACGGGTGAGTGGGAATCGAACCCACCTACCTGTATTCCAACTGGATAGAAACTGAAATTTCTACCACCAGGCTACGCTGGCCTTCTATGATATATTTTTTGATATCTCTGGATTTCCCAGAAAGAAAGGCAACTTGTGATGCACCATTGAAAAGAGAATGACAGGTTCTATTCAAAACAGCAAGAATCCAATATGGCGATCAATGCAAAAAATAAAGTTAATGATGGTGGTCAGGAGACGAAACGTCGGTTAGCAGATCTTAACGCGCCATCATGTTGTAGAAAAAATATGACAATGTAAAAATACGATGCATTTCAAAATACTACAATGAATGAGGCGATAAAAATATGAAATCAATTTTCCAAAATTTCGTCTCCGGATATCTCTGGATATACTATGAAATTTCGAAACTTTCTGAACGACATATTGTTATAGTTAGATAAATGCGCAATTTTGCCACAATTCAATCATCGTTGTATACCTTATTTTTTTCGAAATCTCAATGGTGAGGTTGAAATTTGAAACACCCGTATAACTGTATTATTTTTTGTTATGGTATAGTTCAGAAGTTGACAAGTGAATGTCGTTATCATTTCTGGTGCCGATATGATTTGTCCCATTATCTTCATCAGGAAGCTGATTGATATGAATCAGACAACAGACAAGTCGTTTCAAGGATAAAAATTCATATCCGTGTCAAAGGTTTTTGTGGGAAAATAATGATCTACGATGATCTCTCACTCTAACTTTGCAATTTGCATATGTATCTTAATTTTCCTCTCGTGTAAAATTAACACAGACTTCAATGAATTACAACTAAAAAGCGCCCAGAAAGCAATGCACTATCTGATGTGCGATTCTATCAGTGAAAACAAGGATATTCTTGAGATATCTTGGCATTAATGCATTTCTAATAGCATATCATCCATATGCAAGTTAATTCATCAGTGGTTAGCAGATCTCAATTTATTATCGATGTATGAATCAAGAAATTCCAGATATAAAATTAATAGACTCACAGAAAAAATGTCGTGAGCACCGAAGTGCAATCAATCATAATAACTGTCAGAAACCCATAGATACCTATACAATATAACACACTTGTGGAAGAACTATGATCTCAATGAAATGATCTTATATCAAATTGGAATAAATGTCGCTTGTAGTTTCGTCAGAAAAAGGATATTCCATATCACCTTAGGTATATTCCATAATCCCCGACTTTACACTGATAAACATACTTGAATATGCTAAGTCATTCAGATATATTGATTAAGGGAACAAACATGATTTCTAGATTCATCGAGAATGGATTCTGACTTCATTATGATCAAAATTGAAGAGCCAGGAGTGAAATTTGTCACCTCACAAGTTACCACAAAATGACATTCCAGGTGGGTTATTATTGATTCCACATTGAAATGGGAACCGTGCGTCTATTGGTCAAGAGTGGCTTAATAACGATAGGAATTTCTAAAAAGTGTGGAAATCAACCTAGAAGCGCCTCATTTTCACCAGGATGGAAATACCGGCAAAGTGATATGTTGTGATTCAAGAAGTTTAGCGTCTGCCGATGGATGCGGTGGCATTTTCAAAGCCGAGGGCGTCCAAAAACGAGTCAAAATAGGCTGTGTAGTTCCTCATAAGTTGCCATCTGATCATTTTCCGCAGAAAATCAGTTTATTGTACATTCGACCGAAATATACAGGGTGGAGACTATAACTGGAATAAATTCGCTACTGGAGGAGTGAATTATTTCTCTGAAAATTCGCAGTTTTTGAATGTATTCACCTACATTTGGCTCGCAATATTGAGAATATAACCCTTCAGGGGTAGCTGGAATCAACCCCAGCATGTTTTTTTTTTCAAAACATATGGTATGCGACCCCTCATTGGAAAGCTGGTTGAAAGAGGAAACAAGCGTACTGACCTGATTCCAGTTTGCAGTACATTTGGGGGTCTCTAGAAATATATTTATTTTAGAAGTGCAAGATAGCTTCAACGTATCTTTTTCAAAATTTTGATTCTCAGTGACAATGATATAGGGTTGGCAATAACACTTCATTTCGAATTGTGAATACATTTTGAGTGATTGATACGTTGAAGGAAATTGAATTTTACGATTAAATTTCAAACTAACGCAACCTTCAGAAGTACGAAAAAGTGAAATTTGACTAGTACGCTGAATTTCTCTGCTAACCATATTTCCAATGAGGGATGATCACAGGTCATATGGTTATGTTTGGAGAAAGTGTATTGATGTTCCGCCATTTAGTAGTAGGTGAGGATATTGACTTTATATTCCAGGGTTGTGAAGTATTTTTTCAGCAGATGGCACCCAGTCGCCATTTTGAAATTTCCATCTGTCAATTCCAATTCAAAATAGAGTATTCATGCATCAGTTTCATTACTCCGAGTTTCAATCCAATCGACTTTTTCAAAAAATGAAAGGGAGGCGGGACATTGAAGAAAAGCACAACTGATATCCAATTTTTTCAATCATTGGACAGGCTTCACGTACCCTCGAGGACAGTCGCACCGGAAAGAACCATCCGTGTTGACGCACTCGCCTCCGTCGCACACCTCCGGCATCAGTTCGCACTCGTTCAGGTCGCTGCCGGTGTCCATGCGACCAGGTCCTTCGGGGCACATTCTCTGGAACTCGGCTGAAATAAATAATTTGATTTTTTTCATTCTATTCACGGGAACCCTCATTACAAGAAAGTCTACATAAATCTACATTTATCCATTGTGAATGAGCTGAATACTGATATAAAAATATTCACTATGTCGGGTTCAAGAAACTTCTATTACTTTCAGAACAAATATCTGACAAGTGTTTTGTTAATTAATCTTAATATTTTCCCAATAGGTGAATGCGTTGTCCATGATCTGTAGAATGGTGTGTTATTCGAAAAAGGTTTATATTCCTCAAAGTTCTGTTTGGCACATTGAATTTGATTAACTACCTACAGCAAATTCAGACACGTCCTCCTATAATGTATTATCTCATGTTTTATCAAACTATAGGAGTGACAAGACACCCCAGCGAGCACAAACATCCCTTTTTTTCTGGGACGTAATATGCAATTCCCAAAGAGGTCTTTGAAGGATATTGAAGTTTTGTTTTTGTTTTTCTGTGGCATCCCTTTGTGTGCCTACTGGGGAGTATCCCTGGGAATTTTTGGGTTGTTTTAAATATTTAGGCATCTGGATTTTTGTTTGAGACGTGATATATGCACTCCCAAAGAGGTCTTCAGAGGATATTGATAATATTGTTTATGTTCTTCTGTGGCATTTTCTTGTTTGCCTACTAAGGAAGTATTCCTGAGATGTTTTGAGATATTTCAAAGAGATTGGTGCTATTCCATTTTCGATTTTGTTGTTCTTTCTAAAAACAAACAAACAGCACAGAATATTTTACAAATATTCCGACAACGTTCAGAACGTTCGTACTCATTTCCAAATATTCTTATAGAATGTTCTCACAATGATCATGCATAGAATATTCTCGTCCTGGCAATAAATATTCCATGAACCAGAGATCTGCATGAACATTCAATTCGACATAACCTATTCTGAGAATATTCAGAATCGTACCAGAATATGATATGGATATTATTTTTGTATCAATATTTATAATATTTCCTCTGACTCACCCTATTATTCTCTAGCCTCGATTCTCTAAGTATTATCCCACTATAATAATGGAGTGCATGTTGACATATTTCTATTCATATCATTCATCAATAAGGTTCCTATAGCGCAGTAGACAAGTTTCAAGGATTGTGAAACTGCAATCACAAGAGAGTAGGATTCCACAGCGAGGAAAGCTCTTCTTCAATTTCCTTTATTTTCTTCTTCAATATACCCGCCAGGAATAGTGGCGCAAAACGCTTTGGGAAGGTCATGTTGTGTCAATCAAAAGGATATCGAAAAGGAACTGGGAGAATGTATTTTTGTGACTTCCCAATGATATCTTTATGAACGCGGCCTGCGGCGGACATTGGCTGTTCTATAGAAGATTTATACATGTGTGGACAGAACATCGCAGTGGAGGTTCAATGTCTGGACATCTCGTACTTTCAACATCTCTGAGATGTTTTTGTGCTCGCTGAATCCTCAATATCTTTTTTTGACTTGATTATAATTGGTGACTTGACAACCTTGCTCCATGAGTGGGAATGAAAGATTATCTGACCAATAACGAAACATCAGCATTTGAGCTGACGTCACCATTTGTTCGACGTATTGCCAAATGGCGGCCACGACGGTTCGTTTGAAATGAGCACTGAAATTCAACAATCTCGAACAACGCATGGACTCATTATTCACATGAAAAAGCGTGAGAACTGTTGCAAAAGTTGATTTGGGTTAATAACGACACAGTGGAGAAATTGAATGCCAATAATTCAGTATCAGCCCACTCGTCCATTACTTGATTACATGTGTTTCATTCACTTACCTGACCCTTCGGCTGGGCACCTTTCGCAATACCTTCCCCAGGCCGCCCCTTTGGAACAACAACACTCCTTCGCAGTGATGCTCATCCCTCTCGGGTCCGAACACCTACCCCTCTCGAACTCGTCGTAACATTGCTCTTGTCTCACATCGATACACCTGAAGAATAAGAGCGTATATGGGTTATATCCAAGTAGGTGAAAGTAATTTCATGTGATAATGTGAGTTCGAAAGAAATACAAAAAGTTATACTAAAAGAAAGGGAGATGGTTGGACGATATACTTCATCTGACCCAGATCAAATTCAATGTTTCACTTCAACTTTCTCATTTTTTTTTTTATTTCTACTATCCGTTCCTGTTTTTTATATACTCAAATCTTATAATTAACTATGTAACTGTATTTTGTGATATTTGTTTTTTTAAAATTGAGAATTAGGAATATTATGATTTCTTTATCAAGAATGTTTGTCTTGTTTGAGCCGTTTATGTTGGAAATAGGTTACTTTCCTGTTAATTGAGAGAACATAATGTTACGACGTCATAGGTTTATTTCATTATCATTTCTTGGAATTCGTATTGCATAAAGGAGATCTGAATTTTTGGAAATCATCAGTGAATAGATGAAATGAAAATCGAACTTGCAACCCTGGTCCGCGTGGAAAGTGAATTGACAACAACTGTCATTTGCTATTGTCACATTAATTATTCACGGAATCCGATGATTCCACGTGAGAATAGGACCGTGATGTGGATATAAGTGTTTGAGGTCGACGAAGAAATGTAATATGCACCTCGATCGGCGAGAAACTGCCTATTGTCTCGCCTGTTTGCTAGCCTCGGTTAAGGCACCGGCTATCAATTTGCTGACTCGACTTCAGACAGTTTTCCGTCCTTCGTGCATGAATAACTTTTACAGAAAAGTCATATCTCATTTATACTCAATGTAGGTCTCAAAACATCGAATGTAATACTCCTGATTCGAGCCTTGATACCTTTTATTTTCTGGTAATTTAATGTGATATAATGTATGTGTGTAAGAGGTCTGAGACCTGACGCACTTTGGCCACCCTTTTGAGCTCATTGTGCACTCACATTTCCTAGGATCGCAAGGCTGTTATACAGCCTCATTCCTGGAGCCTATCTCCAGCCGTCCTGAAAACTTTTCATCAGGATTCCCTCCATACTGAAGTCTCTCCAGTATCAAGTGACCCCGAAGACAGGCTCTGGACCAATCCCTCCTTTTCTGGCCAGACTATCAGCAATTTCATAACTCTAAGATACGAAGTGAGTGCCTTGATCGCTGCCTAGCTGTCAGTGCATATGGTAATTTGCAATATCGCCCATTTCCATCATATTATCCTAGCACTCACCGGCAAGAAAACCTTGATCGCGAAAAAACGAACAAAAAGCAGACTTCCTAGATGTAGTTGATAACGAGTTTGTCTTCGTATATAGAGCTCGAATTATAGCAATCAACAGCCGTATTATCGAGTTCATCGAACTTCTCAAGCAGTCCTGAGGAGTTGTCTCAAATTCTTCTTGAACGGCGAATCGTAGATATTGAAGGACAAATCAAAACTCTTGAAGGTCGAACGAAGAAATGCGCCTGAATTATAGATAGATAGGTTTTGAATTATGTATGTGGTATAGAGAAAAAAAACTTGAAACACTTGGTTATTCTCTCAAATGGAGGATATTGACGTGAATCAATGAGGTATTACCACTTCAATCCAGAATATAATGTCGCTGTGTAAAACACACACTTTTGTCCCAGAGGGTGTTAGGAAATTGATAGTAGAAGAGTAACTTTTCTTCTCCTGTGTATGATGATCAAGCAATCAGCTTTTCTTGAGATCTGATAATTATACCAACATTCCTAAACATAAATCTACGATTTGGCCGATATTTCATGAGAATCAGAAAAGAATCAGAAAAAATGAAGGCAATATTTGGCAATTTTTTTCGGACCTTATTTATGCTAGTGATTGTTTTTTTGAAAGAACTGAAAATCTTCGTTTCTGTTTCTAACTAAATATTATTTCGCTGTCGTTCCCGCTCACCTCATGGTACCCTGATGGAGAATGAACCCCTCCTGGCAGGTGCAGACGGCGCCGCCGTCCGTGTTAGAGCAGACGCCGTTCTCGCAGATGCCGACGTTCTCGACGCACTCGTCGACGTCTTCGCACACACGGCTCGACTCGCCCAGCTCGTAGCCCTCGGGACAGCTGCACACGAACGAGCCCATCACGTTCGTGCACTTGCCCGGCGGAGGGCACGCTCCTGGAGTCTGAAAGATAACGAACAAGTCGTTTTTATTCGCATATTCGAGAGTCCTAGATGAAAGGAATAGGCAGAACGGACTGAATGAACGGAATGAACAGAATAGACAGAATGAACAGAGCGAACATAACGAACCGAATGAACAAAATGGACAGAATGAACAGAATGAACGGAATGGACAGAACGAACATAATGTGCAGAATGAACTGAATGAACTGAATGAACTGAATGAACTGAATGAACTGAATGAACTGAATGAACTGAATGAACTGAATGAACTGAATGAACTGAATGAACTGAATGAACTGAATGAACTGAATGAACTGAATGAACTGAATGAACTGAATGAACTGAATGAACTGAATGAACTGAATGAACTGAATGAACTGAATGAACTGAATGAACTGAATGAACTGAATGAACTGAATGAACTGAATGAACTGAATGAACTGAATGAACTGAATGAACTGAATGAACTGAATGAACTGAATGAACTGAATGAACTGAATGAACTGAATGAACTGAATGAACTGAATGAACTGAATGAACTGAATGAACTGAATGAACTGAATGAACTGAATGAACTGAATGAACTGAATGAACTGAATGAACTGAATGAACTGAATGAACTGAATGAACTGAATGAACTGAATGAACTGAATGAACTGAATGAACTGAATGAACTGAATGAACTGAATGAACTGAATGAACTGAATGAACTGAATGAACTGAATGAACTGAATGAACTGAATGAACTGAATGAACTGAATGAACTGAATGAACTGAATGAACTGAATGAACTGAATGAACTGAATGAACTGAATGAACTGAATGAACTGAATGAACTGAATGAACTGAATGAACTGAATGAACTGAATGAACTGAATGAACTGAATGAACTGAATGAACTGAATGAACTGAATGAACTGAATGAACTGAATGAACTGAATGAACTGAATGAACTGAATGAACTGAATGAACTGAATGAACTGAATGAACTGAATGAACTGAATGAACTGAATGAACTGAATGAACTGAATGAACTGAATGAACTGAATGAACTGAATGAACTGAATGAACTGAATGAACTGAATGAACTGAATGAACTGAATGAACTGAATGAACTGAATGAACTGAATGAACTGAATGAACTGAATGAACTGAATGAACTGAATGAACTGAATGAACTGAATGAACTGAATGAACTGAATGAACTGAATGAACTGAATGAACTGAATGAACTGAATGAACTGAATGAACTGAATGAACTGAATGAACTGAATGAACTGAATGAACTGAATGAACTGAATGAACTGAATGAACTGAATGAACTGAATGAACTGAATGAACTGAATGAACTGAATGAACTGAATGAACTGAATGAACTGAATGAACTGAATGAACTGAATGAACTGAATGAACTGAATGAACTGAATGAACTGAATGAACTGAATGAACTGAATGAACTGAATGAACTGAATGAACTGAATGAACTGAATGAACTGAATGAACTGAATGAACTGAATGAACTGAATGAACTGAATGAACTGAATGAACTGAATGAACTGAATGAACTGAATGAACTGAATGAACTGAATGAACTGAATGAACTGAATGAACTGAATGAACTGAATGAACTGAATGAACTGAATGAACTGAATGAACTGAATAAACAAGATCACCAAAATCAACAGAATCAAATAGACACATTGAGGAGGAATGAAAAGGCATGTACCAGATGAACAGAGTAGACAATATGAACAGAACGAACGAAACGAGCAAGATGAAGAAAACGGAGAAAACGAACAAAACGAACAGAACAAACCAAACTTAAAATTAATTTATTTCAGTTTGATTTACTCTAAATTGCAGTATCTGATATCGATCTGGGGTACTGCAGCAAAATCTGTTTTGAAGCCTCTGAAATCTCTTCAAAATAAAGCCATAAAATGTATTTATAAACTACCATTTCTGGAATCAACATCTAGACTATACAAACCAAGAGATCTACTAGATATTGACTCTCTCTTCAAAATGTATGCATTTTCATTCATTTCACTAAAAATAAGAAAAAGCACTCGAATCTTACTTTCAATATCAATTCTGATACCCATGAGCATCACACCAGACAAAGTGAAAATTTGAAAACTATTAAAATAAAAACCCAATTCGGGAAAAAATCATTGTATTTTTGTGGAATAAATATTTATAATAGTCTACCCAACAGAATAAAATCTATTAGATTCGTCACAAAATTTAAGTGTGAACTGAAGAAATATATTTTATCAATTTAACTCTTCCCTTGTATCAATTAATTCTGATTGAACTGTTTATCTTTCATTGTATTGCATATTTGATTTTTTTATTTTTTTTTTGTTGTTTCCCTCTATAAACATTGTATGTTTCTTGGGATCAATAAATGTTATTATTATTATTAAACTGAATGACATGAATAATATAAACAATATGAACAAAATAAACGGAATGGAAGAAATCAAAAAAATCACTGGAATGATGAAAATTTTATGAAGTAAACGAAATGAATGGAATAAACAGAATTACAAGTACAATGGGAATCAAGGATATGAACAGAATGATGAAATGAACGTTATCGCTAATAATCACTCACCTCTTGGCACTCATCAATGTCTCTGCAGTTGTGCTTGTCGTGAGTCAGAGAGTATCCTGTGGCACACTCGCAATAAAAGGACCCCAGCGTGTTCCTGCACCTACCGTTTCTGCACAGGAACGGCATCATATGGCACTCATCTGTAAATAATATCAGTGTTTCCATATATGATTATCAATACACATCGAAAAGTTCAAGGATTATTCAGAATCGAAGTTATCACCACCTATAAGGGTCTGGGGTGATGATTTATTGATGATGAAGAAATTCATGAAGAATTAATAATATGCAATTAACTAATTTGAAAATTCAGTATATTCAGTCTTTCGGTACAAGATGGTTAGAAGGGTCTAGTGCAAAAACCGGTCAGTTCCATTTTCCATAATTCGTGAAAAATCGATAAAAACTCTGCAAAGGAGAAAACTTGAGATTTCATCTCTCTACAAAATTATTGGTCATCAAGTGGAGGAATACTGTGACCATTTCATAACGACAAGAAGCTGAATTACCTCAAAAACATACTACACAAATTTTTTGTATATCTTGTAGGTGAACGTTTCTCGTACCGAACACATGAAATTGGACGAATAATGCGAAATATGCATTTATTGTGACATAAAATCGATCACAAACAAGGTTCGAAAAAATTTACCTGCAAAAATCAGACTAGGACCATAGATATCAGATGAATCGAAATCACTACCAGAGTCCACAAATGGAATTTCCTCGCTACTTGAAAAATCACTGTTCATGACGACCTATTTATTGAGTTCGTCTTCCTACTAATAAGGTACCTCCTCAATGATGCGCAGAGAGTGAACTATAACGTGAAGCAACCACATGCAGCACGCTTTAAACTTAGAAACATACTTGATGCCAGGTTCTTACTGAACAATGTTGACTGAATCTTGCACCCAAGGTCTGTCCTGTCAACTTTTATTTTGCATAAACCTTCATCAATATTCATCGGAATGGACTGAAATTTCAGAATAATTATTTGCATAGGATCCATCAAAAACCTTATTTTGGGAAAAAAGTGGAGTTTACTGGTTTTTGCACCAGGCCCTTCGATCAAAGTTATGTTTCGATAATGATAATATGCAAATGCAAATGAACATAATCATTCCAGAACGAATCTAAGAGGTACCAGAAGAAATCTAGGAATTGAGCATTATCATAGTTCCCTCCGTAAGCACCCAGTTAGTTACCTATGTCAACGCAATCGTTGTTATTACTCAGCTTGAACCCGGCGTTGCAATGGCACTTGTACGATCCCAGCAGATTCACACACGTGCCGTTGTTGCAGATGTTCGGGTGCCGCTGGCACTCGTCCACGTCCAGACACGTGTCGCGCACCGACGTCAGCAGATAGCCGGTGGGACAGAGGCACTGGAAGCTGCCCTGAAGATTCTTGCACTCGCCGTTCTGGCAGAAATTTGGCTGCTCCAGGCACTCGTCGATGTCCACGCAATCCATGAACGTGCTGCCATGTTTGTAACCTGAAAATCGATTGACAATCATCACTGGTGAGGATTCAGCAAACAATTAGGCAGAGTGAATAAATCATATGAGGAAGAAATAACAATGAATTGTAAAATGTATGTTTGATATAGCATTTTATTAGCGCTCGAATGTAGAGTAACACCTCATCTCAATGGTAGAGCTCTCACTAGTCCAGTACCAGAGCCCACTTTGTTCCAGCTCTAGGCCCCCCTGCGGTCTCCTAGCCCAAGAGGTGAGAATGAGCCTCATTTTATGTGTCAATGTTCATTTTTTGAACAACACTATTTCATTACAGAAGGTCAGTATACCGCTCAGAAATATGTTTCTTAGCTGCTCAGGCTTCAAGTATGCAGAGCCTGAGCATTTTCTTCTCTGACGAGCCACTGCGGGACATTTGCTGAAGATATATGGAATGGGGTCTCCTCATCTTCCTCGCAGAGTCGACACATGAGTTCTCAACCACACCGATAAGGACAGTGTTTCCTCTGATTCTACAGTGGCCGGTTGAAACTCCTACCACGTTGAGCATTCCATCCTGTTTAGTTGCAGGAGGTTGTATGATTGGCATCCGATTGGCCCCGCGATATCTTGAGGATATTCATCAGATATCCACAGCAATTATGAATGATTGTGTTATAATATTGCTCTTCATAAAATTATATCTGATCCTCGTACAATTGATGGATATATTTCGAGTTCATGAGTATGGGAACCTATCTAACTGTTAACCGTCCTAATTTCAGACATCTGTCTTTCTCCTAAGGGCATTAATTCTCATTTCTTGTTCCGCGTTTATTACAATACGATGTACCGATCTCGTAGAAATGAGGAGGTGCTTCTGACGTCTACCTAGACATGAAATTGAATAGAAAATGATAAGACTGTTGTTGGTTGTGAGATCATGACTGATATCTCTTCTTGTTTTGGACCATAGATCTTAGAATTGGTTTGCATTCACTTCAATTCAAGCTGTAGGTCCCGCTCTTCCTAACCCAGCACAAGTTTCGACTTCTAGGAAATCGGTTCCCATCTTGAAATTAGCGATGAAATTTTCGGAAGCTCACAAACCTTCTGGACACCGGCACTCGAAGCTGCCCGGCAAGTTGATGCAGCGAGCGTTGCCCTCGCACGGGTTCCTCAGACACTCATTGTCGTCGATGCACTGGTGCGAGCTCTCGTCGTAGACGTACCCGCGGTCGCACATACACTCGAAGCTGCCGGGCGTGTTCATGCACTGGCCGTGTTTGCACATCGAGGGCATCAGCTCGCACTCGTCCAGCTCGACGGTCTCGTTGGTCATCGGGTTGACGATCTGGCCGGGTCTCACTCCGCAAAGGCCGATGTGGTCAGCTGGAAGAATAATTCAACGAATAAGGAGATATGTTGAGTCTGATTTCAAAATTCAGATGATTCAGATAACATTCAGATTGGTTCGAAGTCATTGAACAGTCACGTCTTCAAAATTATTGCACTGCGAACTTTCGAATAGGATTTGAACATAAATACAGGTGTACCAATGACTTCGACGAACCAGAATTATTCACCTGACTTCTTCATTGTCACGTTCCCAATGAATACAGAAAGCTCATACATACATAAAAAAGGTGTGAGGAAGCTAGCGTAGGTATCTTTCATTCGATGATTGAATCATATCCCCTAATATTAGCGTCAATGTATGAAAGGTGTAATTATGAGTTTTCATTGTTGATTTTTCACCGAAGATAAGACTAAATATGTCCATACGTTTCGTTTCAAAAACCTCCAGAGTCTCATTATTTATAATTCTCACTTTTGGAGTTCATTCTCGAATAGATCTACAGCACAACTCAGGCAACTTTCTCCCACAGTTTGTGACAATAACAGGGTACTGAATTTGTTGCATAGAAATTTGAATACCTACTATAATTTTATACGAACACATAGTTTTCCTATTTATCTGATATTTTATAATCAGTGCCCGGATTTATAGTTCCTCAATGTACTTGAAAGTTTTGTTCTGACGTTTTTGTATATTGAGGTCGAACTAAGAACAAATTGGGAATGTCTATTAACTTCAATTCGAAATTGCATCACATAGAATACTCTGCTACAAAAATCAACCAACAAAATTTGCGGGATTTCAATATGTTTGGTAGAATTGGTGCACTTCAGACTGAAAGATATAATGATATGCAACAGAATTTCATTAGGAGAAAGTGCCAGAATTTATAAACAAAATGAGTATCGGGAAGAACTATAACCAATTTGACATCAAAAATGGATCGAGAAACTTGCCTAACATTGAATCAATCTAAAACAATTTTTCAATGGAACTCAGTTCATCGACAATTCAGAAGAGAATGATTCAAAATTTCAAATTGGAATAGAGTGGAAACCCAAGAAACAAAATGAAAGAAATAATAGAGAGTTGTAGAATGAACTGGAGCTGCCGGATGTGTTGTGTGTTCATGCACTGGCCGTGCTTGCACATCGAGGGCATCAGCTCGCATTCATCCAGCTCGACGGTTTCGCATTGGTCATCGGGTTGACGATCTGGTTGGGTCTCACTCCGTAAAGGCCGATGTGGTCGGCTGAAAGAATAGCAGGGCAGCTGGTACGTTTTGAGATATTCGAACTTTTTTTTTCGCTTATAATTCCAAATAGTATGTGTGATAGCGAAAAAATAACCCGAATATTTCTCAAAGTGGACTGAATTTATCACAATCTGAATCATAACGCAGTGCTGTGAATCTAACAGTGCCCGACATACAGCATTCCAAAAATCGGGGGAAACTGGTGAGGGTAAAGTTGAAATAGATCTTCTAAGGTTCATCCCGATCTCGAAGCGACCCCAGTATATAGAATAATTGACTTAACTACTCCTCAAACCTGAAAATGATAGAATCGGATTCAGATCTCCTAAGGTTCATCCTGATCTCGAAGCGACCCCAGTATATAGAATAATTGACTCAACTACTCCTCAAACCTGAAAATGAGAGAATTGGATTCAGGCAAGATTCGGTCTGAAACCTCATCATGACTTTAAAACTTCCCGGTTCCTCTATTAATTCACTTCACTTGTGTTTCATATGTGAGATATTGATCATGATAAGGAAGTAATGAAAACTATCAACGAAATTATGTACCCAAAACTTTGGTCGAAATGTTTTCATTCGGACGCGCTTTTGTATCAAAGAGTCATACATTCCAGAAGACCACGGTTGCTGCAATATCTGTGAGAAAAAATATCAAGTTGATTGTTACCACAACAATATTATCATCACCTGATTACAATATGATGGCTGTTGTAGTGGAAGATGTTGTTCTCCTAGTATTATTGATAGACTCTCCAGCTTCAGTCGACGTCTACTTCCTCAAACCAGAGAAAGGAAGAGCCAATTTCACGTGGTCCCATATAAACATAGCATTGAATAAAATGATTCCTCAATATATCATTTTCAGCACGATGTGAGCTGTGAGGTGAAAACCTTGAACACTATAGACAAAAACCCCGAACACTGTCCTCTGTTGCTGTCCTTCGGAATTCATGAAAAAATCTCCGATGTCGAGATCATCTTCACAGCTAGTGAGTCATGCTTAGCTGCATTGTGCGGTGAAAACAAGCAAGGCAGGTGCCTCTAGATGAGCTGCCGCACACAGTCTGCACCCTGCAATTTATAAATCTTCAGAAGCCGGAAGAGTTTGGGTGGAGTCAAACTAACAACGGCCCATATACTGCTCATCACTTACAATTAGCTTCCTGCAACAGACATGATCCTTCAACAGGTTGCATGCAAGTAAACAAAAGGTTGCACAATGGTAATGTACTTGTTCAAGAATGATAGGATATTTTGCTCCAACATATGTGGGCCATGCGATGTATCTTGCTGTAATAACTATTGCTATTATCTCGAAAAAGAAGGAGAACTAGACGACAAATATCAGCAATCTGTTCCAAGGTGAACTCACTCGATCAATTGTGCGAGCATTCCACATAATATTTCTTTCATAGATATTCCAGAGTCGGAGCCGAAACCACGCCCATCTGGAATGCAGGGCCCTTCGATACCAAAGTGCGTCCAAACAAGAACTTTTTAAACAAATAAGTAAGCCTTCTGCGCATAATCAGGTCAACAATCATTGACACTGCGAGGTCTGTGAGTCATAGAAAGAGCTTAGATCGAATCTAAACAAAATACTACTTCATCGATTTTCGTTATTTTGAAAATTACAAATCAATCACGCATCGTTTATTTGAATTGAAGCTAGGAAGATTTGTTACAACTTCAACTCCTGACGATTTATCTCGTATACAGGATCGGTATTTTCCCCTGATATTCAGTTCAAAATGTGATCATAACAAAATCGCTTTTTGAAAAATACATTAAACATATCAACCAAACAAACATAAAAATAATGAAATTCTATGGAGGAGCCTGCTCTGTTACATGCCAATTATTGTCAAATGTCAGATGAAGTTTGATTCAATTCACCACTTTGATCAGAAGCACTTTTATGAGAATGACTTACCGCTTCCTGGAATAGGACAAGGCTCACACGGTTGTCCCCACGCTTGTCCCATCGAGCAGCAGCAAACTTTTTTCGTTTGATTCTGAGTCATCGGAGTAGAACACCTCCATCTGCTGTAGTTCAAGAAGCAGATGTCTTTCCTCATGTCAACACATTCTCCTAGAAAACAAAAAAATTTATACTTCCCAGCTTCCCGTTTCAATCCAAAGTATTAGAAATATTGTCAGCAGACTCGAGGTGTCTGCTGATGTTCAGTCTCGTGTAAAAGTATGTTATTGAACGATGGCTGTTACTCATGAGGATGAAATTTGCGGGGTAAGCCGCAGGCGAACGTCGTAATCATCCAAATGAGTAATAGCCATCAGACGAAAGTAGAAATACTATACTTTTTTATGACTGAGTGGTCGCTATTCAAACGGACAAGATATTTAGAGAATATTTCATTTGAAAAACAATGGTTTGTGTCAAATAGTTTCATTTGAAAAGATAATGAGAATACCTGAAACTACAAATCACCAAGTTAATTGAGAGCATGATATTTTTGCAAAATTATCACTATACAGTCTGTCCAAGATAAGGTTGAACAGCATGGGGATCTCGAAAACGGTAAGAGATACGAAATCGGTTAAATGGGGAAAAAGTTGCGCATTCGGAGGCTGATATCAAGAGCCTTCGAAAATTTCGAAAATTATTTTTAGTTTTTGAGTTATATCGAAAAAAGTGAATTTTTGGAATTTCTATTTTATTTTTTTTATCCGTTATTATTAGAGATACAGCAGAACTGAGAATACTTCTTCATAGCAACTTTTGATGACGGTCAACGTGGTGATACCGATTTTTTCATGCGACGTTTCGTATCCGCGGAACCATCATCAACTTTTGTTTTTTGAATACGGTCCTGATAATTTTTTCACAGATTCTAAAAGGTTTTTTTATTCTGGATTCAACCATGTATTACACAAGGTGGTTTATTTGTGTTTCGACCTATTTTTGGCCATCATCAATGTTTTTTCGAAACTCCAAAGGAAAAATGCCATCAGTTCCACTTATTTTGAAGGAAAATTAGTCAACACACTAATACCTCATCAACTGGTTTCAATCAATAACCCATTTCATTTTGCGGAAACAAAAATTCCATCCATACAAATTCAGAATATGTCAAGCGCTAAAACCAGGCGATGACGAAAGGCGCAAGACATTCTGTGAGTGGTATACCAGGAAATGCTAAAATTTTGCAGATTTCTTTCGAACAATCATCTGGACTGATGAAAGCATGGTCACTAATCATGGTAGCTTCGATAGAAAAAATACACATTATTGTTCACGAGAAAATGAACATTTATACATTACAGCGAGACACCAACACCGTTTCGGCTTTAATATGTGGGTTGCAATATTTTGTACACCAATTATTGTTCCTTCTATTTACCATGAAACACAAACTTCCGAACGTTATAGAAATTCGCTTGAGAATCATCTTGAGGAAGCTCTGGATGATTTACCGATTGCGGAAGTTCAGAACTCTGTTGGTTTCAACAAGATAGCGCTCCGGTACATAATTCCAGAGAAGTCTGTGCGTTTTTATCCCTTGGCCGGCGCGGTCGCCTGATTTGACACAGCTGGATTCTTTTCTTAGGGGATATATCGAACTTTGTACACGCAAATAACTTTGAGGATGAAGAAGAACTAAGGGACAGTGTCTTCGAAGCATTCAATAGAATAACCCCAGAAAAGCTTAGCAATGTCTTAGAAACAACTGTGAGAAGAGGATATCTTTGTTCAGAAAATAATGGTTATCATTTTGAACATTTGTTATGAATGTCTCTGTAGGTATTGTCAAAGTTAAGTTGTTAAAGTAATTCGTGTAAGAATTCATCAACAATTTTAAACGCTGCAATGATCGAATGATGTAGTGAAATATTTTTTATTCACTTTTCAGTATTGAATAACTAATCCATCAAGTTTGACACTAAATGATAAGAAATAAGTGGAACTGATGGCTTTTTTTCTTTTGGAAGTTCGAAAAAACATTGATGATGGATAGAAATAGGTCGAAACACATTCGAATCACCTTGTATAGTACATTGTTGAATTCAAAATAAAAAAACCCTTCAGAATCTGTGAAAAAATTATCAGGACCGTATTTAAAAAACAAAAGTTGATGATGGTTCCACGAATACGAAACGTCGCATAAAAAAATCGGTATCATCACGTTAAACCTCATCAAAAGTTGCAATGAAAAAGTATTTTCAGTTTTTCTGTATCTCTGATAATAACGGAGAAAAAAAATAAAATAGAAATTCCAAAAATTCACTTTTTTCGATATAACTCAAAAACTAAAAATAATTTTCAAAATTTTCGAAGGCTCTTGATATGAGCCTCCGAATGCGCAACTTTTTTCCCATTTAAGCGACTTCGTATCTCCTACTGTTTCCGAGATCCCATGCTGTTCAACCTTATCTTGGACAGACTGTATAGAAGGGTTGAATAGTTTTCAATATTCACATAATTTTCTCATTGAAATTGTGCTTTCAAAATAATGTGACCACAAGGAGGATGCTTAATATACATGTAGCTGCTAATTCGTCATAATGAGTTAGCAATACATTGTCTGGAAACGAATGTGCATGTTTTGCTTTTTGCCAATCCATGAATATCTGGTTAACCATTTCATAACCTGTTTTAGATTCTAAATCATGAGTCATTAATTAATTCTTGAGTTTGAGTGTATTTCGTTCACATCTGCTCAAAACCAAGTATGAATGAACTACACTGCTGAGGAATGCACTTTTCAAGAAAATACTCAAATTATTGTGAATTGCACGTAGTGTAGGAGAGTGCTACATAATTCATGGAAAAGTGAGGACCTATAGAGAGGCGGATTCGAAAGTTTGTTAAAAATGTGAACTTACTTCTTCCGGGTAGAGGCATGTAGCCTTCCGGACACTGACAATAGTACTTTCCGGGCTCGTTGACGCACTGTCCGACGTTGCAAATGCTTGGGTTCTCCAGGCACTCGTTGACGTCCACGCACATGTAGCCCGCCTGATCCAGTCGGTAACCCTCGTTGCAGGAACACATGAAGCTGCCGAAGGTGTTGGTGCAGTGCCCGTTCTGGCAGATGTTTTTGTGGTCCTCACACTCGTTGATGTCTTCCAGAACCACCTAAAAACATTTTATGATGCACTATCCCAGTGAACACAGAATATCCTATGGATATCCATATGATGTCCACGCTTGGTCCATATGTTTATAGACACTGAATGAACATCCATCGGATGTGCAATAATCACAAGTACAATGGACATCCGTTCAGTGACATTCACTAGACATTCAGTTTTCGTCCGTACTGGACGTGAAGATCTAATTGAATGATGAGAGTCCATTGGACTACCTTTGTACATCCTTTGGTCGATTCAAAATATACCACGATATACATCAATTTAGTAATCAATTAATTCTTTGCATCCGCCAGAATTTCTTTTTTTTTACAAATCCTGTTTTCTGAACATATGTTAATTACGATATCTCGGAATGGTTTCGGTTCCGATATTCTTTATACAGAATGATGAAATTCGATTTATTTCGATTTTCTGGATTTAATCGCATCATTGCGGATTCTTACATTCCGTGGGCAATAACCAAATCATTTTGCCTCGTTATACAATTGAACACATCCTAGGAAATGGATTCATATCACTCTGAAATCAGGAACAACTTCAACAAGAAAACAATTCCCTGTTTTTGAAAAAAAATCAGAGTTTGGTGAAATCGCCTGGTCAGTTCGATGCTGTCATAACCAAATGCTATCCTAAATGAAAAATCCCCATTGGAATCAACTACCCTGGTTAATATATCGAAACGATTTTGAGACTTTTCAGATACCTCAATTCAAGAGGGCGTGAGAGAGTGCCCCCTCTCTCGATAATTCTGATCTATACAAACGATAACGAAGTTACAGTGATTCTCAGAGTTTCATCACGAAATTGTTCCGAGATATTGACCAGGGCAGCAGATCCAAATGAGGGATTTTTGAGAGGCGAATTCACCAAGCTTTAATAATTTTTCCAAAAAAGCAATATAAATTCATCTCCTAGGATGTGCTCGATAGTGTAACGGGGCAAAATGGTTTAAAATATTGCTCACGGAATGTTTGAATCCGCACTGATTCGATAGAAAATCTAGAAAATCGAAAATAATCGAATTCCATCATTCTATATGAGGAATATCGTGAATCCAAAAGTCATCTTGATATGTCTTCCCAGCCGTTCAGAAATCAGGATTAGTAAAAAAATCAAAAAAAAATCCTGTGGAATACAACGGTCCTCAAACTTTTCCATTTACACTTTTTTCAAACACTTGGTGTGTCATCACTGTAGAACTTCGATGTGTTTTGACCAATAAATCTAAAAGAGGAAAAATGCAGCTTTCAAGAACTGCTTTTCGAGTGCAAATCAATCCAATTATTTTAAAAATTATGGCGTATTCAGAATTGGCAAATATTCAAGTAATTCACTCAATTCTTTGAGCACTTTAGTTCATTTCATTGATTGAATATACTTCCAGTAGTCCTAACTCCAATAATTATAGTAGTACTCAATATAGATTCACAACATGTGGTTGAAAATATTATAAATAATGATACTGATATTCAAATTATCGATATAAATAATACTAATGATAGCAACCGTAATAATAATGGTGATAATGATTATCATGTGAAACATAATAATAGTGATAGTAGGTTCATGTGATAGTCACAAAGTAAATTGGAAATGGTTTGTATGAAATGATTCCGAATGAGGAAGAAAATATCAACTGCCGCAAGTTCATTGAAGTTTCGGCTAGTCATGGTATGTTATATGAAATCGATTAGTGAAAGTAATGTCGCAGTATCTTTGGAATTGTATTCAATCTTGTGTATGAATATTAGGTCACCGATATCTATTCTCTTTATCAGTGATTGGAACTTGAATTCGTTCAGAAGGAATACATAACTATGATTTCTTTCAGGGTAGCGTTTGTATTTTTTGTGAAATAGATATTTTATTTTTTTGTACCATTTCAATTGCTAAAATTATTTTGTGCTGATATGGATTCCAAATTTGACTGCAGTATTCCAGTTTACTTCAAAGTAACGTATTATACAACAGACATAGGGCATCTAGGGAATTGAATTCACTACAAGTTCGAATGAGGACACCTAGTAGTCATGAGTGAAACTTTTTTAATGGTCGTAAAAACGATACCCAAGTACTTTTGCTGTGTTGCTCTTGACTCTTCGTTAAGCAGATAATTGTACAATAGTGGGGTATTTTTTCTTCAATATGTCATTACTTCACACTTGTCAATATTCAATGCATGTTTATTCACTGAACACCAGTTTTTAGGGAGTTTTAATCATTTTGTAGAGAGATATTGTTTGTTGGGCCATTAAATCGTTTGTATATAATTTAATGTCATCAGCGAACAGGAGGGATTCTGTTTTGATTGTATTGCATCACAGATGAAGTTGCAGAATCAAGAAATCGAAAGTATGTATCCTCACCGTGATGTCATTGGGCTTATACCCCATTCCACCAGGACAGAGCTGCTGATATTCCACACTGTCAGGAGCGGGACAAAGATCGCAGTGCGGTCCCCAACCTTGGCCCACCGAGCAGCAACAAGAAGCTTTGGTGACGTAGTCAGCAGTCGGTGCTGAGCATCTTCCTGGACCGTCCACTTGCAAGAAACATCTAGAAGTCCTTCTGTCTAAAATTTGTATACGAGATCTATATTCAAATGAGTAGGTAGCCAAAAACTGAATTACATAGGTATTTCATTCCAATGAACCGTGTTTGAAAATGGTTGAAACCGGTTTAAAATCAGTACCTAATTTTCTCGATGTAGGTATGACAGTGGAGGTAGTTTCAGATGCTTCTGGTTGGACGGTTTGAAATCGACAGTATCTACAGAAGTGGCAAAATACATGAATTGACAAATAATTGAAAACAAGGTTTTGCATTCTTGAGTATTTTTTCACAGCTTGAAAGCTGATTAAAAAGGAAATTTCATAAATTTATCAATCAGAAGACTACTTCCTGATCACGTTGCTTATAGCAACGGATGACTATCACAATAATTTTGTTCGGTTCTATTGATAGTTAATGGAATCAATGGGTGATAATCATTTTGTCAAAAATGAAGCGCCTTATATCAATTGACAAATGTAACTCAGGTTCATTTGAAACTATGTAGACACGTAATAAGGAGCAAGCTAAAGCCAATTCATTCTACCATCCACGGAAGGTAATATTTCTTTTTCTCCCGTGGAAATAAATTGACAGGTTTGAATCCTTGAATGAGGAAGCAAACGCATACTTTCGATGTAGTGAGTCAATAAAAATCATTACCGATGCAGGCGTTTCCTTCTGACACCAACTCGTGATTGGGCGGACACAAACACCTGAAACTGCCCTCGATGTTGGTGCATTCTCCGTAGAGGCAAGATTGCGGACTTTCGCACTCGTCAATATCCGTGCAGTTGCCTCCGGAACCGTCCAGTTTATAGCCGTCCTGACACTCGCACCGGAAAAAGCCGAAGTTGTTTTCGCACTTGCCGAACACGCAGAGGTTGCTGAACATGTCGCATTCATTAATATCTGGAAAACAGTCAGAGGGTTAGTGAACGAGGATGACATGGAGTGTTAGTAGTACCTTTTTTTGTTGTTGGCTGCTTGTTAGTTGTTAGTTGCTCGGATTAGTGGTTTAGTGTTCCTTATTGGGTTAGGTAAAATTATCTGTGCCGATAAAGCTAAGCACTACTTCATTTCTATATTAACTTATAAGTATTCACCAACACCATGTGGTGCCGGCATTGTTGCAATCAGTTGCCTTGAAACTGCGTCGCTGCGGAATGAAATGGGATCTCATGAATGGATTATCAACTGTACCTATGCTATTAGTTTGTTATTAATCTCTATCATTTTACGCCAGAGTCTAGGATAGGTACTTTATGTTCGAGTAATTAAATGCTACTCTAATGATCAAAACGTTTGTACCAACATGTCCCATTAATATTTATTCATAGGTTTATATTTTCCTTCATTTCAAAGGTTCAACAAACATCGAATATTCGAATGTTGTAACTGTTTATATAGTCTCCGCAAAGTCACTTGAAACACCGAGAAAATTGTTGACCGGCTATGCATTGGCAAATCCTTCGAGAATATGCAGCCAACAGTGGCAGAGAATGATATTTTGTTTCGGTACCACGAATGTTTCTCAGATTGTCCATGCGGAAACGGTTGAAATTACCTATATCTCCATTTCGGAATATCAGATGTGAGAGGAAGGACAAATTGGAAACAGTATGGCTGTGTGCTTCGATGAGTTGATATCAACCTCATATTCCTCCTGGAAATTCAGTTTCTTGATTATTTCGTTTTTTAGAGATCTACCATTCAATTGATATCGAATGGCATAACTCCTAAAGCGTTATCAAATCGCAAAATGAAGTGCAAATTACTGCACAGGAAAATACCAGTTTTCAATAATCTTGCTCAGGCTAGTGATTGGCACTGGTGCCGTTTGATAGAATAAAATGTTTTCACATGCCTTTGGGACATATATCATTTCGTTTTCAGATTACTTATAATTTGCAGCCGGTTCTTCGACTATTATTTTTATGAATCTTCTCATCATCTTCTAAAATAACGAAAGTATTCCAACTGACTTTTTAAAGACTATGAATTCGATTATTCTCTGTTAGGTAAATAGTGCTAGACTCCAGCGCATTAGGTTAATTGAACATACACCACCGCCTTAGACGGTCATTCAAAATGTAGTGTAGCCGAATCCAAGAGGCCAGCGTAAATAAACTGACTAACGTGATCATATTCAGAATACTCTTCCATTATTCAAAGAGCAAGAAACGCTATGTCTGTAGGCCAGAATAGGAATCTACTCGCAGAACCGTTTTAGTAATCACGTTCTTGATGTGTTCACGGATGTCCTTTTGGGTTTGGAATTACTATACAATAGCCGGCACTGAAGGAAGCCGTGCCGCATAATATAGGCAACATTGTCCGAAAGTCCCTCCGCCGGCCATTGGCACAAACACGCATGTGAATGCAACGTAGTGAATTTGATAAGTTTTCAAGAGTAAATTGAGGTGTAATCAAGGTGAAACATATTGTTGAAGGACAGTGAAAAGTGTGAGGAATATTCTAGTGATCCAGTTTTAAGTGGAAGGGTGTCTGTCAAAAACTGACAAGAACACTCGTAGGAAAAACTTTGTACCTAACGCGAAATTGAGTATTTGGTCACAACTTCTGGCAAGATTCACAAACAGCTCACATCACTGAAGAACAGAAAATCAGTTCATTTGGTGACTTGATAGATGAAAGCGGTATCTTGTGAAGCTATTTATACAAGATATCATGACAGCTACTCTCTCTTAACTCATTCTAAAAATCTTAAATTTCTGATTGATCATTTTTTAAACAATTCAAAATGATCATACTTCTTCTACAATAATTATGTCTCTTATATTATACACCACTTCCCATCTGTGAATGACCTCTTCAGGAAGCCAGGAAGTGACGTTACTTGCATGTATCATTCATTGTTTGCTTATGCCACTAATAAAATAATGGAGTGGGTGATGGAGGAATGTTCCATCGCGTTAGAGCGACAAGCGTTTCCTTGTCGTTGCTCACTTGGCCATTCATCGTAATTCTGGCTCTCTTATGTACAAACCATCGAATCTAATATAAAGAAGGAAAATATCCTGCATGAAAAATTGAATATATGACTACTTTTTCTAAACCATCTAAGCTATCTCGGCCTAAATGAACCTTCTCCTCGAAGAAGGAAACTGTCGTTTTCATAAACAACAAAATAAAAAGAGTCGACCCTTGCATGGGATCAAACCCGAGTCACCGGCATGCCGCATGGATTCACAACCACTGTGCTATCCGGATGCTTGACAATAATTGGGTGAAAAAGAGTTTCAGTCCGTGCGTCGACACAAGAAGTTGCTCGCATAGGCCACATAGATTCCCCCACCACGCGATGCATTTCTTACGTTCTCTCTGCAGGCGCTAGTGCGTCAACAAGCGTCTGGCTAGACCAGGAAAATTTCCAAACAATAGCAATAGCGTAGTGGTCTGTGTTTCTGACTTCCACGGTGGTGACTGGGAGGTAATCTCTGCGAGGTGTCAATTTTTTTTTACTCAATTTTAATTTTCAAAACCATGATTTTTAAGAAAAAGGTTGATTCAGGACAAGTTAGGTTGAAAGTACTTTCCTCTTTCATACAGAAGAAATATGTTCCTCCATCATATTACCTTATGAGTCTTATAAATACGAATAACCTTCTGATAACCTTGAGGTTTGGAAGATTCGCTGGTCTAGCTAAACGCTTGTTCGTGCGTCGCCGTGGTCGCCAGTAGAGAAGGACTTTCGGATCACGGCAATGCGGTGCTGCATTTCTCTCACCATGGTTTGTTGTAGAGCCGGATGTTACTATACTCACCGACGCACGCTTGATCGCTGCCCTCGCCGGGATGCATGAACCCCATCTCGCACTCGCACCGGAAAGACCCAGGCAAGTTCAGGCATTGCCCATTCTCGCACAGGGCCGGGTCGTTAGAGCACTCGTCGATGTCCGCGCAAGCGTATCCGTCGCCCTTGAAGCCCGCATCGCACTCGCACCTTCAATCAATGAATAAATATTTTTGGTCGTGGAAACCATCCATTTTTCCTCAAAATGGTCCAGGATTTTTCAAAGAAAAATACGAAAAAAAACCCCAAGGTGGTCGACCAACTGATAACTCCTATCGGCCCGTTGGGCACTTCGTGGGATGGGAATGAACCGGCAAACTCGCGTCTCGAAAACGCGCGTACCGTAAGACCGGAATAATCATGAGAATGTTGATATGCGACGGCGCCTGTTTTCTAAAGTCTTGCATACCTAATACATGCATCTAATCACGGAGAGTCGATGAAATTGTATTAGCTTCTCGCTCGGATCCCATAAACTTGGTGTACATTATTCACATCATTCATAATATTTTTCGTTCATTATTCCAGATTTATTGAGATTTCCTCTCATCCTTTCTATAAAACAAAAATATGAATATTAGTTCAATATACGTGCAGTAACGACACACCAGATGATTTGCCCCAATACGAATTGTCACTGACAAGCTAGTGAATTTTTCTCTTAGGCTGTCTCATAGAAAAATTCTCTAAACACAGTGACATTTTGGGGCTTATCATCTGATTTGTCCTTACTACACGTATATTGAAATAATATTTATATTTTTATTCAATAGAAACGAGGAAATAAAATCCAAAGGAATCTGGAATATTGAATGTACCACCTCCTCGATTAACCTCAGAATTCATTGTTACATAATATAAAGAACACAACAGATAGATGAAATATGATGATGTCATCATCTTCCCATGAAGAAATCTTCAATCTTTGCGTACCTGAAAGAGCCGTCGTTGTTGAGGCATTGAGCGTTCTGGTCGCAGCCGCCGTTGTTCGTCAGGCATTCGTTGATGTCGCGGCATTTGATGCCGTTGCCGGTGAAGCCGTCCTGACATCGGCATTGGTAGGAGCCCTTTTAATCGAATTACCAGAATAATGATGTTAAAAATGTTTTCTGCTCGGACAATTATCACAATTATTATATTCGGATATAGGAAAAGACCATTTTCAAACGAGCAGCACTCGATATTTCTTCAATTGCAGAGTTATTCGTTGTAACATTACATTTAACCCTTTCACTGTCTGCGCAACCACCCCTGAAATTCGGAATGGCAACCTTCAATTATTTTGCAATTTTCGCAACCCTTATATAATTCCATAAGAGTTACACCTATTATGGAGTTATATTCATCAAAATTGTAGTGTTCATCCTCTCCAATTTTTGAATTGTGATTGATTAGAATGGAAAAATAATATACAGACCTCACCGAATACTTCATGGATTGTTCAAAATTAAATCCATTGTTTTGTAAGCAAAATTTGCCTTTCAGAAGATCCGCGAACAGTCTGTACTTTTTCTCACAAAACATCGGAGACAAATAATTAGTAGAGGGTTACTTACCTGCACGTGTAGATATACCAAAATTGTACAAAAAGTTGTCGGTACATCATTTTTTTTATCATCATAATTCATTACGATACAAATATTCATGAGGTTGAATACTACAATATATAAGACAAAAAATTCAAAATAGGTGTAACTTATCTGAAATTACATAAGAATTTCCAAAATAGCAATATAATTGTAGGTTGTCGTTTAAAATTTCAGGGGGTAGTTGCCCTGGCAGTAAAAGAGTTGGACGTGATGGAACAACAAATATTAACGTGTATCGCCAAATTTCCATAGTGTCATCAGTTGAAGAGATAGTACTGCTCGTTCTCAAATTGATATACCCTGATACGGTTTAATTCCATTTCGGAGATGATCCTATTGGGTATATGTTGTTCTTTATTACCCCAAGAAACATATTTGTTTATAATAGGGATACATAAACATATGAAACATTAAAAAAAAACTAATCAATAAGTTATGTCAATATAACATATTAATCAAAATAAAATCATTCCAAGTATTCAAATGATAATAAATTGCTCCGTTCATAGTGTCATGAGTATATATTTTTTCATATTGACTTTGAACCTTGATTCATCATCAATATGTTTCAAATCATAAGGTAATGAATTATATAAAATGATTCCGTTGTAGAATACTGATTGTTTGCCAATGATGGAGTTATATGGGTTTGCTATTGATGGATTCAACTGTCTCGTTGCATGAAAATGAATTGTATTTACTTCAGTAAAGTTCAAGTTGAATATTTTTTTTTTCTCACTAATGGAAGTACATGGTGACATCTGATCTAGCAAGGTGATAAACGAACCTCTGCAAATTATTGAAGAATTTTAAATGCTACTAATTTAGTGAAACATTTCAGGAATTATTTTCAATCATATTTTCATTCCATATTCGAACATCACATGTTTCCTAGTAACTATGTTTATCAATCCAATGCCAGTTTGTTCTAATCCAAATCAAAGAATGAATTGAGTATAAGGTAAGATACTACATGGTACTAGTGATTAATGTTGCGGAAAGCCGCATTCGACGAATAAGTATATAAAAAAATACATGATTTTTGTTTTTTCTACATTCTGGAACTCCTTCAGTTATGCATTCAATTCTGCTTCTCTACATTCTTCTTTCCACTACATATCCTGGAAATCAACCGCATAAGAAAATATATTTTAACTTATGTGAGGTGGAGTTAGTCATGTCACTAGGAGACCCAAGTATCATGAGATTTCACTATCACACGAGTCATCGTTCAACCATTCTGACTGAATCCAAGAATATATTATGTACAGTGTGGAAACCTATGATGGAATATAATCCGTATTTCCATAATGTTGATATATTTCATAAAAGCCTTGAATAGGTCGAATTTAATTTCTAAAAATCTATTTTTTCTTCAATTCGGGTGTCATAGCCGCAAGAGAGCAGTCGAAAGATTGAAAATTCATTGGAATTTTTGTCAATGTTTGTAACGATATATACTGTTTCATTGTATTACTTGTGAAGTGAATTCATCTACACATAAAATCTGTTTTTCGTACTGAATGTCTGTGTATGTACAATGGAACAGTACCTGCTATTACCAATAATTTGGACAAAAATGTCAATGAATTCTTAACTTTTTGACTCTGCTCTCTTATAGACATGGGTCAACTTAATTGAACATTATATAGGCCGTTGTATAGAGGTGCAAAATATATTTTTCTCATGAGGAGTAACTTGATCTAATGTACAATTGAGAAATTTTTAAGGGATTTCATCTGTAGGGCAGAGAGTTGCTTGTGCTGGTGAGTGGAAAATTCCACGAAGAAGGGTAGGTTTTCTGAAATATATTTTGGTTAGGGAGATACGGATTTTATTCCATCATAGGTTTCCACATTGTACAGGTAGCAGGAAGAAATGAGAGAATATCGATTAGAAGTATGAGCTAGCTCACTTCCACTAGATGATATCATTGCATAGTTTTCTATATAATTGTTTGTGTTTCGATGATTTTGTGATCATGTTTCCACAGTCTATGAATCAGAGTATTTATTCAATATTGAAACCATAATTTATCATCCTCCTAGTTTTATGATTATTGAATATTATTTCACTGGGCTCATGGAAAATTGCCGCAATAAATTATACCAGTTCGTTCATCAACTTCAACTCACAGGGTTGTTGATGCAATCAGCATTGTCATCGCAATTGTAAATCGCCAAATAGCATTCGTCCTCGTCGGTGCATTGTGGTCCTCCATCTGGTTTCACTGAATAACCCTCTTCACATCTACAGTGGAATGATCCGAGAGTGTTGACGCATTCACCAGCTCCGCAGATGTTCGGGTTTTGCTTGCATTCATCAATGTCTGAAAATATTAATATGATTCGTATCAACAACATAAATTTTTCTACCCACCTGACCCATGGAGATAATCATTCAGAAGCAAAGGATCAAACCTCGATTCGTTAGAAGATCGAGGAAATCAACTCATACAGCAAAAATAATTACAAATCAACGAACCGAATTCTCTTCCTGAATTTCTGACTACGATCAACTAGATTTCATCAATTCGCTATTGGTGAATTGATTTCGCTTATCTATTCTATATCTTCCTGGAACCATGCGTCCATCAGAATGACCGATTGTAATCTATTTCATAAATATATCGATGTCAAAACCCAAAGTCAACGTCGTTGAATACGTTTTCTACGTCATATAAATTCCAAATTTTCAGTTTAATGTATTTTCCTCTAGAAAATTATTTTAGTGATAACATCATGTGAGAAAACAACTTCTGACATAAACTACTTGTTTTTCTAAGTTCCTTCCCTTTTATTATGTTTTGTGATCACGTATCATTCGTACCTGAATATTTGTCGTAATTATAAGATAATTTGGAGAATTGGTATGATATTTATTCTCTGAGGTGTAATTTCCCCTTTGAACATCTCAATGGAGATTGGGTATTTCTGGCAATTTGTCAACATATTCTGGCAAGTGAGTTCTCGAGAACATCGATACAATATAGGCATATTTTGGAGAATTTTGGACGGGAACGATATTTGCGATCGGGCGAATCAGATGAGAGATTATCACAAGTATTTGACACTGATAATTCTGACATCAATAGACTCTAGGAAGATTCAGGAGACCAAGAGGTGAGCTCGAATGAAGAAGAACTGGAAGACAATCATTTTATTTTATATTGGAAATAGCTGATTAACTTGACAAAAAATAGATGTTGATGGAAGACCCCGTATCCATCTTAGTGGAAGGAGTTTTCTTAGAAATATTGCGTCAATTCATTTTTCTCGATGATTTTCAACTTATAATAACTTTTGCTATTCCGAGCCTCTGGTCTCAGAAGGGTGTCCTCAAAAGGTCTGTACAAAATCTGTACATATTCATCAAATCGTTATGAGCCAATTCAAAGCAATTCACCTTCTCCCGAAATCACATCGTTTCCGAGATACAGCAGGGTGGTGAAGTTGAAAAATAAAATTCGAAATAATCAAAATTGCAAGCCTGCAGTTTTTTAAGATGCAAAACCAGAATACACCTTTTCACTGAAGCTTTTAGAGGGCGCTTACCAATGCACTTCTTATGCCGTAGCATGCCCATAACTATTTTCTCAGTGTAGTTTTTCATTTTGTCCCCTAGAGAAATAATTTTCTGGATATCTCGAGGTAAAAAAAGTACTCCTGTGAGAATCTGCCGAAGTAATCCATTTTTCAGATATTTCGGTTTTTACTGTTCGATGCCGCACCGAAATATTTCATTTATTTTGAATTGAAAATGTTTGTTGTTACCTTGGTGGATGTATTTGGTCAGTAAATATGCAGTTCAGGGTGGATTTCTCAAAATATTTTCTTGGACTGTACGTGCCACATTCTCATCTTTGAACTTCACCATCCGTATCTCGGAAACCGAGCAATTTCGGACTGGGGTGAATGGCTCATTTTGACTTCAGGGATATGTGTTGAGATTTTGTACAGACCTTTTAGGTGGGACACCCTGTACATTACAGTTTGTTTCGATCATGATGAGTCAGTTGAGTGCTTATCTTACCGCTTATCTTACCGCTAGGATCTACTTCTTGTTATTTCAAATATTTCGGAGATAGAAATTGCCGGTACGTTAACTCAGTTAGCAATGTTTGCCTATGTCGCCGTGATGGCCAGTCCAGGGTAGGTCTTTCGGATGACGACGATGCGTTTTTGCATTTCTCTCCCCACGGTGTGTTATAGAGCCAGCTGTGCTGAATATCTTACCGAAGCAGGAAGTACCACTAGCACCTGCCAAAAGTCCCTCAATGCAATGGCAGATATAACTTCCCAACGTATTTCAACACTTGCCGCCATAGAATATCTTCGAATGTTCGATGTTGAATAGGACATTTCAGTTGATTATTTAATCGAATAAACTAATAGAAACTCGACCTTAGACCTATTTCTTGTTATTTCAATCATTTCAAAGCCAGGAATTGACGTTACGTTAACGCTGTTAGCAATGTTTGCCTATATCGCCGTGGTCGCCAGTCGAGAGTAGGACTTTCGGATGTCACGGCAATGCGGTGTTGCATTGTCCTTACCACGGCTTGTTATAGAGCCAGCTGTGACCATGACTCATATTTGAGTGCTGAACATCTTACCGATGCAAAAAGTGCCACTAGGTCTAGCCAAAAGTTTCTCAGTGCAATGGCAGATATAACTTCCCAACGTATTCGTACACTTTCGCCATAACATATCCTCGAATGTTCGATGTAAAATGGGACTTTCTAGCTGATTATTTCATTTAAGAAATTGAATGAAACTTGACCTGACACCTACTTCTTGTTATTTCAATTAGTTCAAAGCCAGAAATTGACGTTACGTTAACGCAGTTAGCAATGTTTGCCTATGTCGCCGTGGTGGCCAGTCCAGAGTAGGTCTTTCGGATGACGCCGATGTGGTGTTGCATTCCTTTCACCACGGCTTGTTATAGAGCCAGCTGTCACCATGACTCATATTTGAGTGCTGAACATCTCACCTATGCAAGAAGTACCACTAGGTCCAGCCAAAAGTCCCTCAGTGCAATGGCAGATATAACTCCCCAACGTATTCGTACACTTGCCGCCATAGCATATCCTTGGGTTGTCCTTGCACTCGTCGATATCCGCACACGATTTCCCGTCCAAGTTCAGGGTGTAGCCGGATCTGTAACGAAACTGCGGGTGATTAGGTGTCATTGCTACGAGCAGTGGTGTCAGAGTCATACCCACAAGAGCAAGAATAGCTGCCGGGGGTATTGACGCAAATGTCGTCGCAGGGTTCGTCTTCACACTCATCGATATCTGAAATGATAATGATCGTCAATAATTTCATCAGGTACCTACTCTCAGGGGTGATACCATAAGAACTCGCAATACTATCGATAGTCATTCTCGATCAAATCAATTTGAGGTAACAAGCAATAGAATCTTGTTGATTTCTGACAGAATTTCCGAGAGTATCTTGAACTGCACTGAATGCAGTTATCATAATTCATTTTCAGTAGTAATATCCCTAGGACATTATAGTAGAAGATCCGAACCTAAATCGACCTTCACCGAGCTGATAATAGAACGAAATATATTTTATCATGAATTTAGTATATTAGAAAACATATTAAGAATGGGTTCGCTAAAAAAATCCTGGGCAGACTATTTTTAATTATTTTTCGAAAAATGATTTTTAATTAAATGTTGCAACATCAGGATAATAAAAAAAATTTGTCCTGACTGAAAGTATACACCGTATAGAATGTGCAGCCGTTGGGTTGTCTACTATTTACCTGGGCGAACTACTGGGTTGTCAGGTAAACACAGTGTAACGGGTGCAACTTACATAATAGAATTCCTACGAGTTAAAACAAATCTCTACCAAAATAATAATGACTACCTAGCTTTCTGGCCAGAGGCAGCCGGTTTGCTCAGTAGTGTGGGAGCGGGTTCAACTGAACACAATTATAAATATATATATATCAAATTTTTGGACGCCACCCGTTTAAAATAACCTCTGTGCCACCAGTGTGCTAGAAAGCCAACAGTAAAACGGGAAACCAAGCAATCAAAGTTATTATTTCAAGATTTATTCATATTAATTAATATAGAAAACACTGTGATTTTCAGAATAAAAAAAAAATCAAAGGGATGAACGAGTCCCTCTGGTGTACGAGGTGAACAATAGCCAATTCTAAAATTGAATAACAATATCGTGATGTCCGAATATAGCTATATAAGGCGCACAGTGAGTTTCCGATGATTAAGTGTAATTAATTAATGGTAAAACTAAAATGAAATTGGTCACATCACAGATACCAATCAAAGTGGCATCCTCAACGAACAATTGGGGAATAGTTATATAATATTCTAATATGTCACAACAATTGTGCTGATAATAGTAGACAGCTAATCTTCAAATACGACACCTGGTAGTACGCTCCAAAATTCAGGAATAAAAGAAAAATGGTCGGGTAAATATGCATTAATAAGTATGGTTAATACTCATCCAGAACTGGCTCGGGGTTAGAGTTGACGCATCATATAGGCAGCAATTCACATCCCAATCGGAGTACTCAACAAGTATACAGCAATTACTTGGCAAATTCAGCAAAACTCTTATTCGGTATTTAGCACGAAATTTATGCCTCAGAAAAGAACCCTAGAAATAATTTATGCTCTGCAATCTGATAGAACGAAAATATCTTACTTAAAATCCAAATAAATTGGAAAGAGATAATAATGTAATCTATTTCATCAATCAACGCATTCAGATGTGAATTCACATGTTGATATTCCCTATGAGCATATAACATGCTAGACACATTCCAGCAAAATGTGAAAAATAGAAATATATAGATAATCTCACCTCCTGAACATCGTAGGGAGGAGGGTCCTCAATAAAATTATACTAGTCCTCACTTATCAGGTTTATCTTGTGAACTTCTATGATATCAAGATGTCTGAAAGAAAGCGATATTCACGAAACCAAACAAAAAAAAACGTAAAGTTGAAATCTTACCGGAAAGAGCATTGAATCAAAACACACGATTATCGATTCTATATACGCCAACAAAAAGGAGACTAGCAAATCTGCTATTCAACTGAATTTCTCTAATTTTTCAGAAATCAGCAAAATCCTCAAAAATTCGGAAAGAACCACTAATATGGCGTATTCACTATCAAAAATCTCAAAGCTTTCTCCCCGATTCTGATTTTTCATCCAAGATGACCAAAGATCGACAACTCGCTATCATCAAAATTCCCTGAGAAAGATATCGCGCCAAAATCTGCGTATTTTCAGCCTATTTATAAAAACAACAGGTATATGAAATTGAACGTTTCATTAGTTGGTATTTCATCAATCGCTTAACAATGCTGGAATCCGAAATGATTCGTAAATTACTTGCATGTTCCTATCCTTCTCGTTTTCAATAAAAATTATATTCACATATCGCAAGTGATGGTCTGTGATCGACCGACGTCCGAGTCGCGCATGCTAACGACGATAATTTTCGACGTACGAGACAGGTGACAATCAGGTGACAATAAATAATTCGAAGATCTGACGAGATGGAATGACTGAAATATAAACAAACTGCTCAACAGGTGCATAACTCGAGGAAAGAAATCAATCACCAACATATCCAATCAATGATAAACCAGATACATTTAATACAATTAATAGGTATGTGATTATGCGTAACCGTTGCAGGAATATAACCAGGTGAGTTTATATTGATTCGACGACGTGATAGAATTCTGTTCACAAAGTAAATAGTTCATTGTTTTATTTCATTTACAGGTATCCAGCTCAATGATACATGATGTCTAAGTTGAATGAAACAATAGGTGGTGTAATAACTTTTCGTATTACGGAGCCAATGAATTTCGATGATGAAGACGGTGGTATATGATGAGAAAATGAATCTTCCTAGAACAATGTAATTCTTCGAAATTCCTCTCACACTTCAGATTTTTATGAACGAGAATCAAGAAATGACGAATAGCAGAGAGTGATAGTATTGAATTGATTAATAGTGTGCCAAAGTGACCATTAAATAAAATACCAAAATCATTGTTGTTTTTATCAAAATTTTTAGGATAAACATCTAGAATTGACATTGAATTGATGTGAGTATTGCCTAATTGTGAGCATAATCCTTGTGACATTTTAGCCTGTTACAACACCCCCCTTACGTGACAAAAAAAAAAAAGTTTCCAAAACTTTTTTTTTCTTGTACAAATCAGCTTCTCTGTGAAAATCTGCAATCTATTCATTGTTCTTACAAATTATCAAAACAACACTATTATTTTATAAGAACTCAGAACTCCAAGGCTGATATCCCTCATAATCGAGGTAGTGACGACGTCACAATCCTTTAAGTTCTAGCTGCGAATCAAGAGAATGACTATACATTTTCAAACTTTCACAAACACGAACACTACACACTATAAAGACAAAAAAAACAACTTGTTTATTCCTGATCCGAGTTATTGTTATCATGATCAGAAGCATTATCACTCACGTCTTCCAAACTTTGATTAACCGGGATAGGTTTCAGATCTTGGACGTGCCAGTCACCTAAATACTTATTATTCGCGTCTTGTATCTGATAGGTCCAAGGACTAACTTTTTTTCGAATAAAAAGGGGGCCCCGATATTTTGGTTCAAATTTAGAAGTTCGATAATTCGCCTTATCGGACAAACAGTGGTTCTTTACCAGGACCTCTTGCCCTATTTCGTAGGAAATGTTACGTCTGCGCAAATTATAGATCCGTTCGTTTCGTTCAAAAGCCTTATCAAGTCTAGCACGAACATCCTTAAACAACTTGGAAAATTCCAGGGATCTACTCTCGGGGGATAATGCATTTTTAGGAGTATCAGGATCTACAAACGGTGGCTCGTGGTCGTTTCCATTCAGGGTCATATTTCGTCCAAAATTCACGAAATAGGGTGATACACCCGTGGCTTCGCTTCTGGCGGTCCTTATTGCACAGGCGACTTCTTGTAAATAAATATCCCAGTTACGGTGATTGTCCTTGATATAGGACGAGAGCATAGTCTTCAGAGTCCTGTGCTGCCGCTCACAAGCATTGGCTTGAGGATGATAGTTTGCGACATGAACCAATTCGATACCAAAAGTGCTAGTCAGATTTTTCAACTCCTTGCTAACAAATTGTTTTCCATTATCTGTTTACAGAATACGAGGGCAACCAAACAGAAGAAAAACATTTTCCTTCAACAATTTACATATAGTCTTGGCGTTCGCTTGACGCATAGGAAGAAAGATACAGAATTTACTAAAATAGTCCTGGATACTCAGTATGTAAATAAAGCCATTAGTAGATTTCGGAAGTGGACCAACAATGTCCACTGACACAAGATCCCAAGGGTGGTCAACTTCTGGTCTACCACAGAGAAATCCAGCAGGAGACTTTTGTTCCGGCTTATAGGCTAAACAAACTCGGCAAGACCGCACATACTTGGCAACATCGGCCTTCATTTTAGGCCAATAATATTTGGAACAGATGCGATGGAATGTTTTATAAGTTCCGGCATGTCCTGATGTTGGGCTGTCGTGATATGTTCTTAAGATTTCCGACCTTGATTCTTTGGGTACTACCTCCTTCCAGTCATAAATCTCGCCGGAGAGAGCAGAATAGGGACTCGAAACATGCTTGAATAGCTTTCCTTCTTCAACTCGCCAAAGGGGATAACGAAGGGGAGATTTTTCGATGCCTTTAATCTGTTTGAGATACCACTTATCTCTGGAAATATTCGGAACATTACTGGATAATGAACATGTTACAGCGTCAACTTCGGGAACTGTCCGAGATAACATATCTGGAACGATATTATCTCGGCCTTTCCTATGAATTATAGTAAAATCAAATTGTTGAAGGCGGAGAATCCATCTTGCAAGGCGACCACTTGGTTGTGCCAATTTATGTAGCCATGTCAAGCTGTGGTGGTCGGTTATCACAGTGAAGTGATAGCCTTCCAAATATGCTCTGAGCTTCTCGATAGACCAAACAATAGCTAAACACTCTCGCTCGACCGTACTATAGTTCCTCTCAGGACGAGACAAAGATCGACTGATGTACGCAATCACGTGCTCTCCATCATCTCGTTTTTGCGAAAGAACGGCCCCTATTCCAAAAGCACTGGCATCAGTCTGCAGCTGAAATGGAATAGTGAAATCAGGCATTCCTAGAATCGGTGCAGAAACCAGACAATCTTTAATCTTTGTGAAAGAGCGTTCACATTCGTCACTCCAACACCACTTACGCTTCTTACGTAATAAGTCTGT